TCTGAATCTACAAATCTATACACAGTAAAATGCAAAGTAAATATGTATGCATTTTTACATTTCTCTGGCATCTTGCACCTGCCAAATCTCTCTTCCACACATAATGAGAGCCACTGTGCTATGAGTCAGAGGGGAGCAGCTGGATTGAAGGCTCCAGCAACAGCAGTGGTGAGCTGTCACCATCTGGAAAAGTACATGTCTCTGCTCCCTCAGCCTGCACCATAAATCACTTCTCAACAACTGGATGTTGATGAATCAACATGTTTCTCTATGGGAACTGGTTTCTGTAAGTGGAGGGTAATCGAATAGCCCAAAAGCAAGGTGCTTTTGTGAACTGTAACCCACTGCAGTCACGTCCCACACAGTCTGTCATTTCCCTCCTGAGTGGTCAGTCCGGTGCTAAGATCAGAGGAGCTTTGATCAAGCTTTGACAGCTGTCTCGTCTAATAACCTATTCCACTTGTATGTGCAATAAAGAGCTGCACCTGTGCTGTGGACGCAGATGGCTGAAAGGCCAAAGGAAATATTTATACAGATAGTTCATATCTATTGGCGCTGTTGAGCTTTACTGTTTCTCAAGTTGTTTCCTTTTAGTTTGAAGTATAATGCCTTACAAAAGTACTCATTGTCCTTAAACTTCCAAGTTAGGTAATAATTCATAGTTGGATGATTGAAAGATTGTAGCACCTACAAAGACATTGCTTTCCACTTGTGCTGACAGGCTGGCAAGAATGATATTAATCAGTGTAACAGCCAAGAAGCTAATGGGAAAAACTAAAAGAGAGCACAAAGTGAATATATATATATATATATATATATATATATATATATATATATATATATATCCTGCATGTTCCATCCAAGGTTTTGCCTTTTTTGCTGCAACTTTTCATTATTGTCATGATGTACAGGGTATGATAATTTTTTGCATACTACTGAAAAACATTAAAGTGATAATTTAAGGAGAGGTTTATTGTTTATAGGAAGGAATTTATAAAGTTTGTGAAGCTCAGGCCATTTTTATGTAAATCTCTCAATTGTAAAGTGGAATTTGATAAAAGCCTGCTGATTTACACAGATCTGATACATGATTTTTAGGCTGCAACTGGGTCAAAAATTAATATTCAGATCCTGCATATTTCCATTTGGAAAGAAACCCCTCAAGAAACGAGTTCCCTGAAAACTTTGCAGGAGATGAGAATGTGACACCAAAATCCCATTAATTCTGTCAACTCACCTGGGAAGCATCCAAGTAAACATTCTAGGTATACTAGAGAACTTGGGAACACCATTATTTCAGATTATTTCTCAAGGTATTTTTCCCCTGTTTCTTTAAGTTTTGAGCTGCTCTATATTTGTTTAAAACACCTATTTGCAACTCAACACCTGCCTATATCCAGATCCTAAAAACTACACTCATAACATTTTCTATCTTAAACTAAAAATATGTCATGTGAATTGTTTTATAGAAATTTAAGGACATATTTTTAAACATCTTGCGCTTAAATTGACCTTTCAAGAGTCACATAATTGGTTAAGAAGTGGTTCTGTTGCAAAAGAGGGAAATAGCTAAATGGAAAAAATCCCTGCTGAGAAAGGCTGACGACCTGTGATGCTTTATTAAAGTCAAGTCAATATGCAAAGTAAAGGGGAAAATTTAGCAGTTCAGTGTTATCAAACTAAGCAGCAAATATGCATTTAAGGGCTTTTTTAACGCCTTCATCAGGTGAGCCTTAAATAAAAAAATAATGCCAAAAATAATGTTATCACCGATATCTAAAATATTCTGCAGCCAAAGTATTTTCTCTCCTTTCATATTTTCTTTCTGTTTCAAAGACTGTGAACATGATTATGATGACAAAATGTTGGCAGTATCATTGCAACAGTTTCTTTTCAAATTGGATCCCATCTTATTGGTAGTTACTAACAGCTGCCAACCTGTCTGTTTTGTTTTGTCGACAGGATCAACACAGATATAACAAACAATAATTCTGCAGGCCACACTTAGCTGAGCTCTCTTGGATAAGTCACATACATGTCAACTTCCTGTGGCCAGGCCCAATAAACACATGAGAGGGAAGGAACAGAGACAAACCATGAAAAAGATATACATTGGCAAAACTGCCTTAAAAGTCCCCCGAAATGGCGGCAAACACCCAAAAAAGAGGTAAGAGTAAATATGTCAAGCCATCTCTCCATCCGTACTTGTTTTTATGTGTTGTCCGATCATCCGCCCACGAGGTGTCTCCTCTGATTGTTCAGTGGTGTTAAAGCAGCCTCATCCCGCCTTTCCAGGCCCAGAAGTCATGCTGCCTCGTCATCTCTTCTCACCAGAACGAAAACACTCATTATGTGTGACTCAGAGGAGGTCACTAATGGAGGGATTTTTTTTTTTTCGTCCCTGAAGCTTCTTCGCGTAAAGTCACCCTGTACCTAACAACAAACACCTGTATTCCCCAGCTAAAGCCTACCGATCAGATCGAGGCAGGAGGTGAGGTGGTGGGCACTGTTGGATAATGTGCCTCTCAAATGTCATTCAGTCAGCTGAGACTTCTCTGAATCATTCAGCATGCAGGTCGTATTTCACTCATTGTCAAGTCTGCAAAGGCAGCAGCTTTCCATGTAACACACACTATTTCTAATTAAATCAAAAGTTAGCATTTATTATTTCACTCTAAATACATCCAAAGTCAAATTTTTACAAATGTTTATATGAAGAACCAATAAAAATAAAAACTGAGACTTTATACATCTTTGCAGAGACTAAATTATCATTATTTTTTGTGTCATTTCAATCACAGGCAATTGGGTAAACATAATGCACAGAATGTTCACATTTTGCATAAACTTTTGTTATTATCTAAAGTGTGCTATGATGAACAATTAAAGTAGGACTCCATCTAAAGCTCACATGCAGTTCCTGTCTCATAACAATACATGTGCAAACTTGGTAGAACATGCAAAGTAGATCTACTAAAAGGGTTCACTAAGGATTATTCCTGTAAAATGAGTAAAACAATGAGTGCAATTCATTTAGCTTGTTTACCTTCATGAATATGCAAAATAATCTGCAGATTATCAGAAAATGCAAAATACTAGGATAAGAATATGCAAATGCAATTATTTAGCACCTAGATTTGAATAATTAAACAGAAAACGGATTGGAGCTACTGTTTTTGCATCTATATTTAGCACATTTGAAAAGCAAGAGAAAATTAGCACATGTTATGAACAAATATATGCAATCATTTTGAAGACATATACCTTATGGACACCTTCAAACACTGCATTTTCTTATGCCTGGATAATTTCATCACACCATAGGATATTCTCCTTGGCGACAGCCAGCAGCACATGCAAAATCCTGATTTAAATAAGGCAGATTACACTACGTTTGCACCTGTTATCACTTGCATATGCATTCTTAGTGGATCATTTGTAACAAGCTCATTAATTGCAAATGCTGTGTTTTGTTTACAAATCTGTGCTATTTAGGATCTTAGTAGATAAGACCCATAGCAATGTCTGTCTATCATAGTTACTCTGATTGAGTAATTTGACTGATTGACTTTATTGATCTCACTGTTACTGGCCATGCCTTAGATACTCCAGCCTTAGATGATTTCACAGAAAGATCACTGGTAGCAGATAACGTCTACCTCTGTACGTATGGTTAGAAATTACCAACTTTTATTACAGTGATAATTTGAGGCTGATGTTCAAAAATGGCTAAACTCGACTTTCATCTTGGTCACTCTCAGAAAAAAACATTATCTTGGCCTATGGGACAAGCTTTTTAAATGAAAATACTGAAAGGCTAATCAAAGATACAAACAGCTTATTTTTTACGAGAGCACCACTTTATAATGTTCAAATCCTCTCTTTATTATCCCATAAAATCCACTACTTCAACAACTATACGAGTCTGTGACTTCCTGTAGCATGATTATCATGTGAAAACAAGATCTGTATAACATTTATGGTGCTTATATAGTTTGATTTTCCTGCAGTTACGCCCTGCGATGTTTCCTATGAGAGTAGAAACTTAGAAAGCCACTTGCAAACCTTAGATAAAAACAGGAACATATGCAGTAACAGAGAACCTGATACATTTAGGCAAAGCAAATTAAGTTCTACATGAAGTCTAGACTGACCCTGTCCACTTTTTATCCAATTGATTGCAGAAACATTATCCTGCTTGCTAATGAGATGGAAACAGGGTGATGCCTCCTCTGACCTGAAAAAATAAATGAACAAACCCCTCCCAGTTGTGTTTTCTCTTTTCTTTTTTCAGTACTTTCTAGCTCATCGCCTACCTTTTGTATCTTGTTAAAAAGAGAGAAATGGAGGAAAATGGAGAAAGTGAAAAGAGCAAAGTGACCACATTTCCATTCATTTCCAGCTATGTCATCTGGCTGCAGATAGAGTCATTACCTTTCTTCCTCCATCTGTCTGTCAATACAAGGTCCATTAAGCTGAGCAGTGAGCACTCAGATCCATCACGGCAACAGACATTTCTTCTTTTGCCTCTCACACTTGCCCTTTTATTAGATTGAAATTCAGGTAATGCATATGCTCCAAAAGTAGTCATTATTGTGTTGTCTTGCAAAATTACATGTTGAGAATGTTGCTGTTTTGTAAATCTGAGCCTTCGGAGTCTATACAAATAATCTATTAGAGCTCATTGACTCATTTCTCATTAAACATTACGCCTCTGCTATTTCGACCATTCTCACTAGTGATTGCTCCTCTGCAATGTGCTACCTTGTGGTCTCTCATCTAAAGAATTACAAACCTCTACATCTATTCTAAAAGACACAATTTCGGGATCATGTTTTTCTGCTTCTCTCTCATCCCCTTTATGTCACCATCAATGCTGCATGGACATTGAAAGAAAATGTAGACCCTTATAAGTCAATTTAGCAAAGGATAGACTCAGGTTGCTAGCTTGTTTCCGTCACCATATGCTCTAAACGTATGTGCTGTCTTTTTGTGTGTAGCTCATTGCTGGAGCAAAAAGAGGACCTGCGGAAGAGACTTTCCTACACGACGCACAAGCTGGAGCTGCTGCAGGGAGAGTTTGACTCCACCAGGCAGTACCTGGAGACGGAGCTGCGTCGAGCACAGGAAGAGTTGGACAAGTTCACAGATAAGCTTCGAAGGTGACCTCACACAGCACCAATTACCACATCCTTAAAAACTAAGCTTACTCTGGATAGTAGGGAAAAAAACATAACACTTGGATTAATATTATTGATCAAGAGGTTTTACTTCCTGTCCATGAAATCTATGTTCATTTTAGCTGTTTTTTTTATTTTATTTTATCATCTCAAAAACAAGAAATAACTCTTAGATGAATATTGGTGGTATGATGCTTCACATAAATCAATGACATTTACAAAGAATTGAAACCATCTATATATGTTTCTGACTTTAACTAAAAGATCAAATAATTTCCAAATGATTTAAACAATGGAAGTCAAACCTGCAGATCATACGTCAAACAAAACTGTTCTATAATGTTCAACCTTTAACCCCGGTATTTATACCATACAGTATATGAAAATAGATAATATGAAATATATATACTATGAAAATACAACAAATTGAAAGTCAGCATTTTAATTCATTGTGAAATCATTAATCTTGGTGTGCTCTTTTTGAGAGCACTTACCACTTTACTCATCTTCTTTAATGTGCCTATTTAAAACGTTGTTTCCTGTAGAGAATGTGTTCTTCACATGACTGCTTGAGCAAAATTGATGTTGGATAAAGCTTAGTAAAGTATGAATACATACTGTTACATCTGTAGTTATTACAAAATAAATAAATGGGTGCAAACCAGCTTGATTTCATCACTGTATTGCAATGTTTATTTTAGCAGATTGGGAAAATACTTATATATTAATGCTTGAATGTTAAGATTTTATTGGATTTTATTGAATACATTGAAAGACTTATCCACGAATCACAACAAATACGAAATGAATGAAATACCAGGGCTAGAATTAATCTTAGAGTCATTATCTACAGTAAAGCATTGCAATAAAATATAGGTGCAAACCAAGAAATCTTGGCTGAATTATACAGCTTCTTACCTTTTTTAAATTCTTGGACTTACTTAAAAGCCAGATTCACACCAGAAAGTTTAAAATTATGCCAAGAGAAGTGCTTAATCATCCAACCTAATGTTTTAAATCATAGATATATGTTATATTATTTATCATTTATATCATAGCTATCAAGATATCAAGCTATTCAGTGTTACACAGCTGTTGTTGTTTTGTTTCTTTAAGTATTTTTTAAGAGATACTTAAGGTGTTTTGCAGTTTTGTGAGATGCTGTGAGTAGGACAAATAAAAAAGGAATCAACCTTTTAGATTTGACTTGCAATGTGTTTAGCCTGGAGATAAGTCTTTTTGGAAACCTCTCTGGCTTCTATACTTGTAGATTCAGCAAGCATGTACACAAGCTATTACCTACTGGGAAGCAATGATTCTTTATTTTTTTTATTTTGTCTTGTTGTTTAGAATACAAAGCAGCTACTCGGCACTGCAGAGGATCAATCAAGATCTAGAGGAAAAGATCCAAAGAGATGTAAGTGTCTGAAGTTGCATGTGTATGTGTTGGTTTGAGGCTTTTATGCAAATGTTCATACTTGTCAAAGCAGAGGGAGTTGCACAAGAGGCAAGCCATGCTGCATGGAGAACACTTTGACGTCCAGATTGAAAATGAATCCCACTGCTGTTTGTGCCACTGACATTAATTATGGCTTATTACAATTGGCTGTCCTCCTTCTACTGGCAGAGGGATAGCAAACCCATTGTTTCCCAGAAGAGAGCACCTCACTCCATTTGTCAGATGCTGCTTTTTCCCTTGGAAAGATAGAATTAAAAAGGGTGCCCCAAAAGACTGTAACCATCAGGTGTCGGAGATGGTGAATAGAGAGTTGAAAATGCTCATTGAATGGGTTTGTTATGCCACAAGATAATAGTCATTACATTTGCCAAAGAGAGAGCTTCAGGTACACACACACACCCAACCCCACACACACCCACACTTAATATTCATTCTGCCATTATAGTGAGGACCTTGTGTTGATTCGCATTGACTGCCATTGATTTCTATGCCCTAACCCTAAAACTAACCCTAAACCTAACCATTACTAATGCATACCTCACCCTAACCTTAACTCAATTGACGCCGCTTAGCCTTAAACCTAACCATTAGCAAAATATCATGTGAGGACCGGCGAAATGTCCTCATTTTGCAACAACTTTTCCTCAATCTGATGGTGAAAATGGAAAAATGGTCCTCACTCTGAGAGCTAGAGAGGTACAACCCCTTTTTTTTGGTTTCATACTAAGGAAAGTTTTCACATTGGCTGCTTTTCTGGATTCAACCCACGTATATTCTCCTTAAGGGTTAGAGAGAGGTGCTGAGTAAGTCTCTCTGCAATCGTAAAACTTGTTTACTCCAGAGGTGCCACACACCTATCTGACCCCTGGGCCCCCGCACAACTACAGAGAATGTAATCACAAGACAGATAAGCAGGAGTGTCTAGGTTATTTTCCTCTCACTAAAATTTAGAGAAAATCTTTGGTTTACAAATTTCTTTCTATCAAAATTATTTTGTCAAAATACAAACTGTGGTTTAAATGAAATTCATACCTCACATACACAGTTTTTTTAATTTTATTTTTCTAACTCAGGTTAGAACCATTTGGTTCTCATGCTTCAAGTAACCCATTTAGGCCCTTCACAATAAGTTAATCAAATATTTGACTACAAAAGTAAAACAGTTGACAGGTGTTCAAAATTATAAATACATTTAAAAATATTGCTTATTTTCATTTGAGAATATAGTTTCTGAAACAGAAAGGCGTTAAAGTACTAAGCTTAAATTTTGTGCCTCATTTTTCGTCAGTGCTGTAAACCTGACTAATCACTTTAAATTTACATGAATACAGATGTGGGGGAAAAAAACACCAGGTGTTCACAAGGCAGCAAGTTGGTTTGTTAAGATATTCCCCTCATTTTTAATTAACGTCTGGAAGTACTTAGATTTATATTTCACTTCAGTAAATATTGTAAGTTCCTCTTTCAAGGACTAAGATTAATTTTGAAATTTTTCATCAGTTCCCAAGATAAATGTTTTATTTGTTTTTGTTTTTTTATCCTCCTGTCCTATTTCAAGACAGAACAGCAATATTTGTAATGAGCTTAAATTACATAAAGTTAATATCGCCTAGTCAATAAGGGACTTCTGAAGACAATTTCTTGCACCATTTTTTGTATAGCATAACAATTTAACAGTGTTTATTTTGAAAAAGGGGCTCAATATAAATCCAACCCTGCAGTTCTTACCTTTCCTACTTGTAAAATATTTGTAAAACCAACCATGTTGTGTTTTTCTTTCTTAACAGTCATGCACAACTTTGTGTTCTGCATGATGTTTAGATATTAGATTTAATTCCAAAAAAAGAACATTTTAATTTGTAGTTCTAATGTGTTTCAATGTGGAACTTTTTCAAGGGTTTTAACCTTTTTCAGAGCACTTGTGTAAGCGGCAAGATGACAAGATGGGCATAATGGGAGTTTATTTTAGTCAATGACCTCAGAGGGTTACAAAATGCAAAATTCAAAAGATTATTTCCTCAGAGACAAGAAAGTTTACTGAAATCTTGGTCCAGGAAAAATGTGCAGCTAATGGCCAAATGCACTCAGCTGTAGAATTTGTTGCTGCTAGTTGAGTTGCAAAGTGCTTTTCTTCTTGAATTCCACTCTGTGTCTTTATTTAAATCACTTGTGGATTATGTTATATAAATAGATTAGCCTTCATTTAATACAGGAATAATAGCAGGAATTTAAAAAAGAATCTTTTAATCTGTGCCCATTAAACTGCTTTTTCTTTTGTTTTGTTTTTTTCTTTCTAAACAGGGTGCTAGAATCCAGTTTTGATGGGATTATTCCTTGTTTTTGACCATTAAATATAATTCTAGAACCGTGGCTGAAAGATCGTGTCCTCCCAGGCTGTCTATCTAAATAACGTGTGTCTTAAAAAGTGTTACACTGTCAGCATATTGGTGGCTTGCTTGCTGCTATAGCATTTTTGCCCGAGGCACCTTCATGCAGTCACATATGTCCTCATTAGAAAGCAACATCTACACTGCCAGTCCCTGTGCTGCAATCAAGATAGAAGTAAAGACATTTTTGTTCCTCCAAATGTACATGAATAAGTTTTTTCTGAGCCTGAAAAAATTTATTTAATCTTAAAAAATTTGAAAGCTTGTTTCAAAACATTTATATATCTGTGTTGTGAAGTCGCAGCACCATGAAGATGAAAAACGAGCCCTGAGCAGAGAAATCATCGTCCTTAACAACCACCTGATGGAGGCGAAGCTAACAATTGAGAAGCTGCAAGAGGACAATGTGAGTTATGCTGGTTTTAGTTTTCTCTTTTTAGAATCAACCACATTGTTATTGATTCTCTTTTGTTTTACAAGAGAACCAAAGGCTGCATTCTGATACAGTTTTTACATCAAGCTACTTTGCCTTTTTGAAATCTGGGCAATTTTTCCTACACTCTGAGGAATACCGTTTGAATTTTCTATGGACTAAAAAAAAAGTTAGTTTAAGAAACATTAGATGTAATGTGATTGTTGCTGTGATAATAGATCTGTAAAGCGGTTGACTGATTAGAATTGATTAGTGGGGGAACGGTCTATAGCCTTCTCCACGTTTATCTGGCCTACTTTTGACCTAAAATAAATTCATGGGTTAATGAAATGTTACAATTTTTTAAAGAAATCTGTGAAATTTGACTTGAGTGCACTTGCTTAACAATGAGAAATAATGAAAACACTTTTATGTTAATTCAAATTTATTCTTTTTTTTTTCTCCATGTTTTACTTATACAGTTCATGAATTTTAGTCTGTTATTTCATGTATTGCTGGGAAAGAAATCGTACCTACAGTCTAGTAGTCTAGTACAGTAAGTTTGGAATTTGATTTTAAAATTTTGTGGGTCTAAATAAATTCAGAGTAGGATTGTGGAAAAATAGCATTTGTGATTATACTGCTGTATGAAAGGTGAAATCATTGAAAAGTTTTCTACCCATTTTTACGAGATGTGCTGGTGAATAAAAAAAAATATCTTTGTGCAAAATCCAAACAAATTCTTAGGCCAATTCTGTTTCATATATTTTATTCTATTTTAAATAATACGATTTATAAGGTTAAAAGCAACCAATTATTTCCTGACATGCAGACATTTTAAGAGTCGGCAATAGCAATTTTTTTTTTTTTTATGTGTGAGCAAACTAGATGGAAATTGTATATGAGCAGCAAAACTAGCATTTTGCCAGTTAGGCTTTACCAAAAGGAAAACTATAATATCAGGTTATTCAATTATTAAAAAATTAAATCTACCATCTACAAAAAAGTCTTTAACCATTAAACAATAGTCTAAAACTCTAAAATACCTTTAGAATTCACCGATTAGTATTATTTGAACCAAAACAGACCCTCTTCTTTTTTTTTTTTTTCTTGAGATGCAAAATGTTTTTGTAATTATTTAGTCAGATACAAGAGGAGTACACAAAAAGAGAGCAAGATGTACCATACATCTGTGGGATTTTAGATGGATTTGAAGGTTCTGTGTACAATAGAAATGCTTAGAAAACCTAACTTATCTAAGTTTATATTATTACACCATGATCCTTCTCATTACAATGTATCAAAGTAACTGATCAGATTAATTGAATTCTTTTTTCTTTTTTTTTTGTAATATTTGGCATGTTCAGCGTTTTGTTTTTTTGTTTTTTCTTAGTTAAGAGCACATTACTGTAAACTGCATGTAATGGGAAATTATTTCAGCTAATGTATTTAGATTTTTAAGCAAACATTGCAAGTTTTAGAAGGACAGAAGTAAGTCTTCATCACATTCACTTCTGTCTGTTATCTCTTTTTGGTTTTGTACATGTGCTTCCTCCACAGGAGCTGTACAGAAAAGACTGTAGCTTGGCTGTTCAGCTGCTGCAGTGCAACAAGTCTCTGTACAGAGATCAGCTCTCTGAGGTGAGACCTCCACCTACTCTCACAGGCTTCAAACCTGGAGCTTTTCTTGAACCACATAGCCTTTACCCTCTCTGAAGTCCTATTTTTAACTGCTCAGCTTTAAAAAAAAATTACAAGTGTAAATATATATATATATATATATATATATATATATATATATATATATATATATATATATATATATATATATATATATATATATATATATATATATATATATACACATATATATATATATATGAGAAAAAAAAGACATTTCATCTCAAGCTGCATTGAACGACTGAAGGGTTTTTAGAGTACTACTGGACTGAAATTTAGGCAAAAAAGAAATTGCTGTCTGGAGTGTAATGAGAGGGCCGTTTTGCCCTGAGAGAGCCAGAAAAGATAAGAGAGTTGGCAGAAAGACATGAACAGGAAGTTGCTGCAACAGCAGCTGAGGCGCTGTAAGAGAATTAGAGCTGAAGGTTATTTGGCTGAATAACCTTCACCTCTGAGAGATGAAAGAAACAAATTCTGAAATTATTAAAAAGCTCAGAGGCATACTAAAGGTACAGAGATTACTTCACACTCTCTTATAATTTAAATGAGTTTTGTTTAGCTGCAAGAAACATAGTTCAAAATTGAATAATCTACTCCAGTAAATGCTTAAAATTAGACCAAAGCCAAGCAGTTGTATACTTCTAGCAGTTAAACATGAATAAATAAAAAAAATCATAACAGATCCATGAGTTGTTACTGTTGCTTTAAATATCACAAAATAATAGCAAAGAAATTAAGAAGAAATTATTTTTAGACTGAAAAGAAAACAAAGTGTAGTGTAGTTTTAAATGCAGTAGTTTAATTGTAGTTGCAATATGTTATAAAAGAGCAATATATTTTCTGTATAATTATAAGCTTTATCATTAATTCATTATTGCTGATTCTGCCCTGGGATGATTTAACAGGTTCACCTATTGTAGTTTGGGAAACAATGTGGTGAAAATGCAATGTATTAAACTAAACTGTAAAGATGATTAATTACATGCTCACTGGAGGGGTACACTTTCAAATGACCAAAGCAAAGATAAATTCTGCACTAGTTTTTTTCTGTAATGCAACATTTTGAGAAACCCACACCATCCTTTACAGTAGACAACTCACCAAGAGTGTTTTGTTATAGCTTGCTTTTTAAAGCCGTCTTTTCTAAATACTTAAAGGCAGGATTACGGCTTTCTTCCATCTCCATATGTTTTGTGAAAGGACTGATGTGGTGATGGGCCAGACATTAGCCTTTTTCTGTTCCTGGATTTATATATATATATATATATATATATATATATATATATATATATATATATATATATATATATATATATATATATATATATATATATATATATATATATATATATATATATATATATATATATATATATATATATTTTTTTTTTTTTTTTTTTTAGATAACCAAAATGGGAAGTGCAGGTTGTAGGTTTTCAGTGCAAAATCCTTAATTGTTCTATCCTGACTGTTAAGCTTTCATCAACAGAGAAGCAGCCTCAAGATAAAGCCTCTTTCTATGCAGGTTTAGTTTCATTAGCATTCCATACCGTTTAAAAACGCATACAAAGTCTCTAACTAGGATGTGTGATGTCAACCGAGATGATAGTTATTCTGATTTTGGCTTTAGACTTGTATCCGTTTTCAGACCCCTTTTTGTTCCTTCAGCACTCCATCTCTGAAAAGAACCTCCTAAAAACCCACTTAAAAACACACTTCTGCAACCACGCACATCAAATGTCGCTTGTGTCTGGTCACAAACCATGGTATGGTATGCTTCTGCAACGTCGGTCTGGAATTTCTAGGGACACACAGCAGTTTCCCTCCAAAGCACCAGGGGGAGCCTATTTCAGAACTCGCAAGAACTTCTGCGGATGGTCACGAGAACTTCTGTTTATTTTCCAAAACATGTCTGAACCATCGTACAAGTGGTTGTACTTCTGAAACTCCTCTGGCTGTCTGTGTGGTCGTCCTTCACCGCAAGCGACATTTGATGTGTGCAATTGCAGAAGTATAATCTGCCCTTTAGCCGGCTCTATTCTTTTTCACTTTATCTCCTCCTTTTGAGCTACACTGAAAAAGGCTTTCTTTTCCGGTTAGGTTTGTCAGGGTCCCTTTTGGCCATTGATACTCCAGTTTACACAAAATAGTGAACAAAATGCTTAAAAAAAAAAAAATAAAAAAAAAAAGCTGCAGCAACAAACAAGCATAGCAGTATTTTTTCATGCTTCGGCGTAATGGCGGACCGCTAGCCAAACAGCATATGAGTTACGCTTGGAGCCTACATAGATAACATACTGTATAAGGGGCACGTACGGAAAATGCTTGATTGATAAAGAAGTAGCCAATCCACTTTCGACAGTAGGCGAAGTGGATTGGATTTTACTTTTTGGGGGGGAACCATGAGTGCAAGAATGCCAGCAATCCATTAAGTAACTTTAGATTAATCTGGACACTTAATTCCACTTACTTTTACTTCAAATTAGAGCCATCATCCACACTAATGGTAGTAAACAAATTTCTGGACCCCAGTTTAATGCTGAAACTCAACTAGGAAGACAGAAAGTCACAGATCACTAACCAGAATATCCTTGACTCTATCAATTTTAGTAAATAAATAAATCATATAAAGATATATTTACATTTGAGATTCTTCAGGATGCCAAACATTTGATTATGGGGATTTTGTTAAAGAAAAATGTCCCTTTTTGGGGGATTTATGAAGTGTATTTTTCTTCTATGTTTGTTTGTAGATTCTCAAGGTTTTTTTTCAAGGCTTTATAATGTAACTTGAAATCAGACTTTTGGTCTGATATCAATGTGGCAAGGGAAAAAAAATTGCAAATAATTTAAATCACCTCCCTTTTATGTAAAGTCCAGGAACTTTTGCTGGGCTCCTATCAGCAGGGGGGATATTCATTGCGAGGTGTGAGGCAATGTGAAGGACAGTTGAGGTAAAAACTAACTGTGTGCTGCAAAATGTGGCTGGGGAGAACACTGCAGCATCATCATACAGTTCTGCTGCTGCTTGTGAAAAGAGTGCATGTAGGTATTGATGAGCTCGACCAGCTTGGCTCAGCTTTCTGCCGCATCAGCTGAGAGCCTCATGCCTTTCCCTATATGTCACAGGAAAAGCTGGCAGATGTCCACAAGGTTAAAGTATATGCTGTAATGCGGCTGCATAAAAATATCAATGCAAAATCCATTTTGGTTGCGCAAGATTCATAAAATATCAACCCGTACATTTTACACATAAACTACAAGCTGCACACAGGAGAAGGCTTTTCATAAAAAGAGGAGCAGTTAAGCTACAGCAGCTCTCAGCCAAACAATAAGGGGGTCAGAGGCTGTGCGTGCTTTCTCTGGATGTCCACCGGTCTGCTAGTTCTGTGGGTGGAAGCTAATTGAAAGAATATTGATGAATGCTGGAGCTGCATTTTTGAGAAGTGCTGCCGCTCTTCAGCACCCATTGAAGTGTTTTCACTGCTTGTTTGGCTGCAAAAACAAGCAAAGACAAGGTGTGAAAGGCCTGGGTTTGCTACATCAAAAGCTTTAAGGCATCTTGTTTTAAACAAGCAAGCAGGAAAAAAATGTGTTGACAGAAATGAATCTCCATTTTGCTTAGTTTCAATCAAACTGTTCTGATAAACTATCCTCATGTTTTACCAAATCACCTGTCTTCACCTATTTTTTTAAATGCAGTTATAATTAGCTTCTGTCTTTTAGCCATCTATGAAAAACTGACTAGATTGCTGTTGATGATATGGTGCAGATAACATATTACTTGTTGCTATAGTGAACTACGCATAGATGATGGAAGCTTTCATTCTAAGAAATGCTCAAATTAGAACAATGGCTTTCTGTTCAGAGAGATGCAACTGTATTTTTTTTCAGCAGAACAGTATATTCTCATCTTCTTGCAAGCTAAGAGAAGATGACACTTTCTATTCATAGACACAATTGTTGCAAACAATGGCTGTTTAAATGCCTAAGTAAAAAAAAAAAGAGATACACTGAAACACTTCCTACACAACAAAGAGAAAGCTTATGCTAGATTTGGACAGAATCAAAAATAGCCTACTATACAGTTGTATATAGATTGTTATGGTACATTTTACAAAGTATAAGAAAAGGTATGCTTTCATGTTTTAGTTTTTAGTTTTCCAGTTAGCACAGGGCAGACGTTATACTTCACTGCAAGAACAATCTAGAAATAATTAACATTTTCTTAGAATAAGTGTATTTTTCCTTTATTTTATTAGATAAACAAGATGATTTGCCAATGGAATTAGTACTTTTACTCTTAAAATAAGATAATCAGATAATATTCATACTGTATAAGACAATGCAATTTTTTTTTTAATCTAAATTGTCTTGTTCAATTGGCAAAGCGTCTCACTAACCTCCTCAGTTCGAGAAAAATTCACTTATTTTAAGATAAAAGGACATATTTAGATTTACTATTTTTTCAGTGGTTTCTAATATCATTTTAGCTTGATCTTCTACCCCTCTACCAGAGCAGAGTTCGTAGTTTATTTGCTTAATCATGTCCAAGCTGAAGCTACTTACTACTGGTCTAAGGTAAAAAAAAAAAAAAAACTAAAAATAGTCATCCTGCTTTATCTCTTTTGGATTAGAGAACCCAGTAGCTTGATGCTACCACCACCATGCTTAACAGTTAACTGGTTGGAGTATCTAACATTGATTTTCTAAAGGTATACTTCTCGTAACTTAGGACAAATAATAATATAATTTGCCCATTTCACATAAATGTGAGATATAAATTGATTTTCTTAGCATTTCCATATTTTTTTTTTAGCGAAAAAGATTGAGTGAAAGGTTTAAAGGAGAAGAAAAGAAGTCATAGCCCTGTATGTTTATGTTATATGTTTATGTAACATGTCTGTAAGTGAAGGAAGGTGTGATTTAGTTATTAAAGAGTTTAATAATTAAACAGGGTCTGTGTAAACAGTAGGCCAAGCAAATTGACTGCCAAAACACATGGTTTAAGGAGGAACAGTGCTTCATGTATACCACTGGTCAGACAGGTTGGAAGTGTTATGAAGTAGAGCAATTCACTGAAATTCAGCCAAGAGAAGTTTCTTCAGCAGGCTGGAGAACAAAAAAAACATAAAAACATCCAAACACCATTGAGTTGTTGAACCTTCTATAACAGGAAATCTCCAACATTTAGATTCTAACACCACCTATCAACCCTAGTGAGTTCCACTCTATGATTATTAAAAACCCAAAAATTATTTTCGCTACTGACAGATTTAAGTTTTAACTATTTTCTTTCAACCAAAAGGGTTAGATATTAACAAATGAACAGACACTGGAGCTGTTTGGTGAAAGACACTTTTTTGGATTTTTTTTTTTTCCATGTGATCATTTGTTGGAGGTCATTTTGGAGCAAGAGCCCTTTTCCTTAGTCAGCACTCCTCAGGTCAAATAATATCAAAAAATAAATAATCTATTGGTAAAATATGAAGTTTTAACCGGTTATTTTTTGTTAAATTCTGAAAAACCTGTAACTGAAATGTAGAGAAATATTTGGTCATCAGGCTAAACCAGAGGCTCTGGCCCATATTCTCATGCACCAACTGTTGTACTGAATCATTGGTGGCAAAGGACAGCAGAATACTGCCAAAGCATGTCTATTTGTATAATATCTATAAAATCCTTCATAGTTCAGATTTAGATTAGAGCTATGGACAGTACTAAAAAAATTAATACATGCAGTGAAGGCTAAACCTTTTAAAGGTTTACTTCTGAGCAACAGACTCTTTAATAAAAAAAAAAAAAAAAAAGAAAACACCTTTTTCAAACACTGGGTTGTTTTAATCATCTGAAACTGCCATGTAATGTGTTTTCATTACAGGAAGAAATATTTAAATATTGATTTTTTTTTTACCAAAAAGTGTTCTGTCGATATTTATGCAGAGCTTCAATAGCTTTGAGCTCTATGGGGGAAAGCCATTTTCAAGAGACAGAAGGGAGAGAAGTGGGATTTATTAGCAACATAAGATTGGAACCATCTTAGAAAGATACGCACACCAAAATGATGCAGAACATTACCGACTCAACAATGTGATCCAATGGGAAGCCTGATAGCTTTTACTTCCGCCTACTACATAGACTTATCTGCATTTAAATTGAAGAGGGTGGTAGATGTTTCGCTTTTAGCAATTCTATTGGGTGTATAGGGACCAATAACATCCATACAAAGGGGCAAGTTTTCTGGTTAGCTGACTCAGAAACATCTCAATATGTACTAAACACCAGTGCTAAACACCTTTTCCCCAGATGTTCCTCTGAATTTCTCTATTTCTTTCAATATTTCCAGCTTCCTGCAGATTTTCAGGAGCGTCTGACCATGCATCTGGAAGATTCTCCTCTCTGCCATGACTACCCTGACTCTACTTCCCTCATTGCCAACGTGCTTGAAAAGCAAGATGAGGCCTGCAGCAGCAGCCAGGCGTCTCGCTCTCCCAGTCCCCAAACCCAGAACCATACTTTTATTCTGGAGAGACTTGGGCCAGGAGAGCGCCTGGGGCTTAGAGCAGCCTACAAATCCGACCTTTACAGCAGCGACACAGCTCTGTACTGCCCTGATGACCGCCAGCGTGAGAGGAGGCCGAGCATGGATGTTCACGGTCACAGGACATTCCTGTATGGACCACAGAACTCCACCGACAGCACTCCAGAGGAGGGTTCTGTAGGACTGAGAGCTAGTTTCTCTCAGGAGCATTTTTCCAAGTTCCCTGCCGCGCTGGCTGGAGGCTCTAGCTCCTACTCCAGCTTCAGTGGAGGTGGTTCTGAGGACAAAGGGAATGACCCACCAAGCAGTGCAGCTTCCTCACCGCACCACCACTCTCTCTACATGGAATGGCGAGATGCAGGGGACTATGAGAGAAAGAGTGACTCGTCCTGGGAAAGGGACAGTCCTAGGAGTTTTGGGAATGCTCATCCTTTTCAACAGACCGAGTTGAGTCACCATCAGAATGGCAGCTCTCCTGTCTACAGTCGTACCATGTCCTCCTGTTTCAGTGAGCCCTACGAACCGCTGCCTCCCTCTTCCTCCCCAAGTGTTGCTTATGGAGACAGTCGACGAGGCAGTACTTTGGCCCCTGAGGAGGAGGAGCTGATTGGTCGATGGAGACAGCTTAGTGTTGAGGACCTTAGTGCCCACTCGTACCGCAGCCCAGGCAGAGCCTCACCTTATAGCTTCTCAGAGCAGCACTTTTCTGTCCGCCCCGCCAAAATTCGCCTCGGGCCGCTCTACAGCAGCTTCCAGGAGGGGGCAGACTACTACCATCATGGTGCAGATGCCATGGACCCTGTGTGGGTCGCAGCTAGTGCCGAATGCAGCCCTGGCCTGCGGCAAGCCCACAGCCAAGCCCACCTGTACCGAAGTGAGGACAGCCAGGGGTCAGAGCACAGTCTCTACCACTCAGGCAGCTCCAAAGAAAGAGAGGGCAATGTTGCAGCTGGAGGTCAGAGCACAGAGTATGTTGACCCCAGTCCCAATAGCTCCACTGAGTCTCTCAACCAGAGGTCCTTGGAGATGGCCGCAGAGCTGCAGCACTATCAGACAGAGATGCACAACATGCCTGCACAGGTAAGCCAGCAGCCACCACCGACTCCACCGCCTCCTCCACCCTACAACCAAAAGTTTGGCACTTTGGGACTTTCCAGAAAGGACAGTCTTACAAAGGCCCAGCTTTATGGGACTCTTCTGAACTGAAGGACTTTCAAATAAAGTTTCAACTTTGCCATGCCAAAAGACACAAAGCCCTGGTTCACCAAGTGATGTGGCTGCCACCATTTCACTGAAAATGGTTTGAAAAAACTGCCAGGAGCAAAAGATGGATCTACCGAAGATTCTGAAGATGAATCTACCGAAGATTGTTTAGGAGCCGTGGCTTTATGGGAGAAGACTGCAAATATTTAGGGGAAGTTAAGGCGAAAACAGCCAGAGAGGAGTTCATGACACTTTTAAAATTTATAGGAATGTGTGTTTATTTACGTTACAAATGTATAAAAAAAAAATAAAACTAAAAAACTTGAGTGATATATTTTATAAGTAGTTGTTGGCAACAAATTTATTCAAAAAGTGCAGTTCTTGTTGGTATTCTTGAAAGCTGTATATATGTTGGAAACTGCCAGTGCCATGTTAGAAAGGTGTATGTAAAGCAGAGATGAGTCTCTACGAGCTGCACATAGATTAGTTTCAGTCATTATTTTTAATCACCTGAAACAATCTTGGCCTTGGAGTGATTAATGAAGAAATCAATAATGAATTAATCCCTTAAATGACAAACAGACATTTCTCTTTTGTTAATTGATTTCAGCAGTATTGATCAATGTGATTTCTTGTTATTGATGGAACGTTTTGAGATGTAAACATCTGTCTTAGCTGTCAGTATTTATTTATAACATTTTTTGCAATTATGTTGTCTCCTTGAGAGGTTCTCCTGCCCCCTTTCTACCTCAAATTTGGATTCCCACACCCACCTAAATATCTTTCTTTGGCAATGATGCATGGTGATATATTTTGTTGTTTTCTTCCCTTAATAAAGCACAGATTAAAAGTAAAGCTCCAGGTGTGGATGAATTAAAAATACTATTTTTTTTTTACATTTTCTTTTAAAAGAAAAATGTTTGTCTGCTGATCCAACATGAAGCCACCCGAACTTATAGAGAGACCTTTTATCGTTCAGACTCAGCTTCCTGCAGCATCGCGGGGAATCTATGCTGAGTCACCATAAGGCTCAGCTTATCATTGTAGTAATTTAAAAATAGTTGCATGGAATGATTTTTGCCATGATCAGCAAACCTGACAATAGGAGAAGAATTATTTGTCAGAGAAGTCCCAGAGATGGAACAAAAAGCGTGATAGTTTATATTTATATCAAGAGCACAGTGTCTTGCAAATGTTTTGATACCCCTTTATATTTTAATTTATAGAAACCACCTATAGCAATGTATTTGTGTGAGAATTTTGTAATAGTCCAACAAAACGTTGTGCAGAATTGCAATGCAGAAGAAAAGGGCTTCAATTTCTTGTATGAAATACAATTTAAGAATTCACTGCAATTGTGATGATTAGACTTGAAGATTAGTCAGTGCTTTTAAAAGGCACATTTTTCTTCCCATTATGGCTGCAAGTGGTTTGGATTATACATCCATCAGCTTTGCTCCCACAGAGATGGAAACGTTGCCTTTTGTGGTTCTGTAAACTTACTTCATTATAGATGTGTGTTTAGTGTTCCTCCTGGAAATTGAAATGCAAACAAAAAATATTCTTCGCAACAACAAAAATCTCCTGCATTGTCCTGAATTAACTCCATCCATCTTACCATCTGACCAGCTTTTCTGTGTCTGCAGAGGGAAAGGGTCCTAAGAGAACAATGCTGCCACAAGCATCACATACAAATTAGAGTAAAAAAAGAGACATACAAGAAGACACCAGACTTTTTAAGAACAACTATACATTACTTCTGTCCTGCTTTATGTTTATACACTTCATTTTGATCACAAAAAACCCAAGTAAAATGTGCGTTTAATGAGCAAACACAGGAAAAAAATTAAAAAGGACCATCAGTTTTACAGCGTTAGCAGCAAAACTAGCATTGCAAGTGTTACTAAACAGAAGCTATTTGAAACAGAAAATCACATTTCAAAATACAGCATTAAAAGCTGTAAACATTTTTGTCATTTGTCAATTTTTCTTACCGTACTAACAAAAAAGTATAAATCCATGTTTTTTTTGTTAGCTATATTAAGCCTTTCCTATGCTTAAAATGTTTTTACATGCATATGTGATTTAAATTTTAAAAGCTTGATGCTATTTTTCTTTATTGCCAAGCAGCAACCGTTGTTCTGTAAGGTAAGGTATTGCCGTAAAAAAAAAGTAATAAATATACTTTGATATCAATATTGAATGTGGTTAGTTCCAGCCAAAAGAATTGTCCTGACAGTTACCTTTAGTAATGTGAATTTTATTTATTTTAAGAGGTAAATAGTATCAAAAGGAATAGTGTGACAGACCAGGATGTGCTTATTTCGTTTGGGTAAGAAGAACCCATTAAGTTAACAGCCTTGGAAATTAAATCGCTTCTGTGATCAGCGGTTTCATTGTTTGTTTGCTGATGAATTTCCTCCCAGGTGGCACTGCAGAGGTAAAAAGTTATTTACGACTAAGGTTGAAATCTGTCCACGAGGGGGCGCCAGAATGCCGCGGAAGCACAGTCATCAGGGGTCCATTTCGTGTTGTCTAAACCTTAAAACAGGGGAAATCTGGCTTTTTCAATTCACAAATAGTTTCCTCAACCTATAGTTCAGTCACTGCAGTAACATTCTCCCCAGAGCTAACTTGGAGCAGGTTTTATTTAATAAACTCAGTGTCCTCTGTCTCTGCTTGTTTTTGGTTTCTCTAATATGAGCAATATGCAGATCATTTTATTTTTATTTGGTTATATTTACAGTACATGAAGAAATACTGAAATTATTTTCAGGTTACACGTAAACAGATTCATTAATTGGCGGGACATGAATTACTTTAGGGTTAGGATTCACTTGATAATAACAACCTAATGAGCCTACTGGCACAATCTGTAGCCATTCTATGGGACTGAAAGCTGCTTATAACGACCATTTGTCTGCAAGCAGCCACTTTACTGTGTAAAAGAAGACTGAATCAACATGAGGAGGGACGCATGGGAGGAACCACAGGTTCTATATACCGGTATTAGAACAACGTTTTTATTCTTCATCCTCACCTGCAGCCAGAAGATTTCACCCAAATAAATACATTGATCTACATTCAAGAAATAATCCCATAATATTTTCACGGTAACAACTGTGGTAAGCCAATTTGACATGTACTAGTTTTACTGAATATGTATTCCTGATATCTGGAAAAAAAATTCTTTGTCTAAATGACCATTTCAAACAAAATGACACACAAATAAAAGAAACACTCTGGATCTCTATAAATGTAAATTCAGATCTCCTTATTCCTAATATTGTTGGTATTATTCTAACTAGGAAGAAATGTATTTCAGATATCATAAATACCTTCCTGATATCTAAAAAAAAAATGTCTTTGTCTAAATGACCATTTCAAACAAAATAAGTGTAAAAACAGCCTGCCATAATCCACTTCATATAAACCTACGCATTATCTGGAGCAACAATCTTCTTCACCGATTTTCACTCCTTTAGTAGTTGTAGCTGTCTTTTAAACCCATTCTCCTTATTTATTTATCTATTTATTTTTTATTCTGCATTAAAATCTCTAATTCAAGTGGGTTGAAATATCCACTTCCTGTTTCCTGTTGTCATGGTGACTTGTCAAATCGGTGCTCCACTGATAATGGCTTTTCATATTGTTGAGCACGTGCTTAACTCTGAGTGGACCTAATTAAAATTGATTGATCTAATTGATAGCAGCTGTTGTGTCAGAGTTCCTGACTTTGTCTAGATCATTTTAGAGTTGCAGATTTGAATCTGATTTGTTAAACCTGCTTCAGGAAACAAACCCCAGCATCACAAACACTCTACACACATGAAGTCTGTTCTGACAGCAGGGGCCTGTTTCAATAAGGAAGTTCAACCAACTCTTAGTTAAAACTTGAACTCTGAGTTGACTTATCCTGAGATTGGAAACTCTGAGTTTTGGGTTTCAGAACAGCTGAAATTAGTTAGTTCAATCAACTCTAAATTGACTGACTCTGGGTTAAGCGCGTGCACCACAACTATAAAAAGCCATTATCAATGGAGCACAGATATTACGAGTCACCATGGCAACAGCTTCAGACAAAAAAAGGTGTGCATATTTCTCACCAGCAGAACTGGATGTGCTTATGCAAGCATATGCAGAATCTGAACATGTATTTAAAAAAAAAGCAACATGGCTGCAGCGGCGAAGGAGAGAGAGTTAGCTTGGGTGAAAATAGCTGCTAGAGTCAATGCGTAAGTTTACATTTTAATTACTTTTATACAGTGTTGGGTGTAATGAATTAAGTTACTTAAGTCATATAAATACTGTAATTAAATTAAAGACTATAAAAAATAGTGGATTTAATATCACATTTTTAAAAGGTATATTTTGATTTGAACTTTCTCCCTCTAGTTACACACTTTGGTCAATTTAAGATTAATTCATGCAATTGAATATTGTTTATTTGAAAGCATTAGAAGTGCAGTTTCTTGTCTCTCCTTGTATTGTTCAAGTGGTTGAGGTTGATTTGGGATTTAGAAAGTAATTAATAAGTAAGTAAAACAAATTAGTAAGTAGACCAATACTTTCTAGAGACAGTAATTATTACATTAATCTAATTAGACTTGTTGAAGATAAAATTTGTAGTTAGTAATTAAGAACTATTTTAGAGTAACTTACCCAACTGTTATAATATCAGAGGTGAAACTGGAAGAACAGTATTTTATTAAACCTAATTTAGTTTTCATGGATAGGTGCAATCCTGCAGCCATCAAAAGAACATGGCAGCAGCTGAAAATGAAATATAAAAACATACTTCAAGCAGGTAAGCCTTGAGCACATCATGGGAGTAGAGTAGCTACCTGGCTTTATAAAAGGACATGCCATTTCATTCCCTTTGATGCGCTCTACGTGACTGAAATGTTTGCAATGAATACTGTATGTCCCCAAAGAATCAATGAGGTGTTTAAACACCACTTCCTCTTTAAAAAAGGGGAGGAGACCAAAATAAACTCCGGATTTTCTGAAGAAAACCTGCTCCCGACCAGGTTAGGTTCACAGAGTAAATTGCCATGGTAACTGACTCGGAGTATAAGTTACCTCTCTTTCAGAAACGGGCTTGACTAACTCTGCTTTCTAAGGTTTAACTTACCTCCCTTTCTGAAACAGAAAATCCAGAGTTTCCCTCATTTCAGGGTTAACACACTCAGAGTTTTCACTTAACCTCCTTTCTGAAACAGGCCTCTGGACTGCAAAACTGCAAAAAATTTTAACATGCAAATTTAGTGCATGGTTTAAATAAACACTTGAAGAGCACCAGCGGTAACGAGAACATTTATTGTAAATGTTGGTTATATCAGTTCAGCTATTATTATGAATGCATTGGGTCTAGTTCCTTTGATTCTTGTGTTTGAGCTTTGATATTATGTAAGATTAAAACATATAGTCTTCAATAAAGTATTAAAAAAGTAAATGCAATCCATAATGGAAATATATATATATATTGGAGCAAAGCAGGAGTGTGAACATTTTAGCCTGTCACCCCCTAAAAATGCAATGCATTCCGTGCTTGAATATAAAGTAAAATGTGAATTTTTGGATTCATTTTGAAAGGGGAATATATTTATTATTGTTATCATTCCTAGGGGGTATTTTAATTATATAATGGGACACTGATTATTCAATTGCGCATTTCATAATTAAATGGTTTATTTATAAATGTATTAAATAAATAAATGGGGCATATGCTGTATAATGATTCTAAAAATCCTTACATTAAAAAGTTTATATATCTTAAATGTTTATTCTGTCAAACTATAACATGGTTTAATCTATTTAATTTCAACTGTTTAATTAGACCACCAAATCGCATAATGCATTTTTATTACAAACAAAATCTGAAAATTGAGTAGATAATTTAAGTGGACATAGAATGTGGCAAAATTCCAATCGGACTTTCTTCTCTCTGCTCTGCCATATCGTCCTGATCTGCTAAATGCAGTTGTCCTGTTGGCAAATTTGCCTATAAGCTTCGGATTTTCACAGCTCCTTCAGAATTATTAGAGCCTTCTGGCTGTTTCACTGAATGGTGCTCTGTCAGTTTAGGTGGATGATCAGTCCTTGGCAGATTCCCACATGTGGTATACTCTTTCCAGCTTCGATTAATGGATTTAAAAGTGGCACATTGAGGTGGCTCAAGCTTGAGGTAGTATTTTCAACTTCTTCCCTGACTCATGTCTGATCTGTCCGCTGTCTTTCCTGGTCTTCAGGAAGCTAGTTATTAATTAATGTTCACGAACCACCTTGGCTTTTATAGGAGGTATCAATACTGACAATAAACCATACACCTCTTAGCTTATTTTTAAGAACAGTTTTTTCTTTCATTTATTCATATCCAAGTAGAGGAGATTGAATACACATTCCCATCATACTTTGATTTTATTCAGAATATATATATATTTTTAAATACATGTATAGTATCTTTAAACTCAGGTTATGCATTACTTTTTCAGTTGCATACTTTCCATCAGTATTTTAGTTTATGGTGAAAAAAAGGATCCAAGGCAGGGGCGTTGCTAGGCACAAAGCTTTACTGGGGCACTGGCCCCCTAGTGCATATGCCCCTCCTTCCATACATAAATACAGACAAGCACACTGCCCAACCCTGATACATTCCTACCAAAATTACCAGTTGAGATATTAATGAGTATAAGAGCATATTTGTTTTAACAAACATGAACATTTTCAACATTGCAGCTATAAAAAATAAGACATCAACAACTTTAAAAATAAAAAGTTTCCTTATACACATTCTGAAGTAATCATTAATTCCTAGGTTTCCGAGTTTTAGTTCAGGGGAAAGTTTAACTAAACCCGAACTAAGTTTTCCTTTTATTTTTTGAGCATTAAAGTGTACCTCCTATTTTTCATTTTTGCAAAGTGGTCAATCACTTGTGACTCAGCTTAGAAAGTTCTTCCTTTTCAACTGATAAAATAGCAAGATGATGGAGCCTATCTTGTCCCATTGTGCACCTCGGCCAAGTGTGGAGCCTTCTCAACACACTGAATGACCTTTCACAACTCCATCTGTAGACTGGGATTGTGAGGGAGATCTGGATGACCTGCTTTAGTGTTGGGAATATGATGTTATCAAGCAAGTTGAAAACACACTGCATATCCTTGATAACAAGGCTTTCTTTTTTAACCAGGAAAAGCTCAAACCATTTTGAATTAAATGAACGTTTTTTTACTCCAAATTTGCCCCAGGGGATAGTGGGACAACTTCACTTGTTTAGGACCATCATGCTTTCCCCCTAAGTCCCTAATGTCCCCTTCTTGTTTGTGGAAGCTGGTTGTTGCATCCTCATCACCTTCATGGTCCTGTCTCTCCTGTCTTTCACCTGTCTCTTGCCAGTCAGTCTCGCCTCCTCCTCCCTTTCCTACTCCAGCCCCTGCATTCTCATTCTCTACAGCAAACATAAAAAAAAACGCAAATTTATAATTATGTAAATATCTATCATATTACTTATAACGTTCCTAATGTAACTGGTTACATTAAATCACTAATTCATTACGGGACCTTACCTCCCTCTCTCTCATCTTGTTTTACTGCTTCCCTGTCTCTGCTTCGTGTGAGGAATTTCCTGCTATCCATCTACAAACCAATACAGTAATTTTCAGTTAGTAGCCTATAAATCATGTGGTTTCACTGGGAAAATAATAAAATTGACAGGTAAGAAACATTACCAGAACTAAAAATGCGTCGTGGCTGCACAGTGTCCCATCCAACTCAGTTGAGAGCGGCGTGTTAGTTTACCTGCAGTTCATGCAGTGACATGCGCTGACGTGGGGGCGCTAATACATCCTCAATTTGGAGTTACCAACACACTTGCTGCGCATTTGAGTAGAAATATACGTCTCCTTCCGTTGGAAATATCTAAATTGATGCATTAAAAAAATGTAATACTGTTGCAAATATTCATGAGATTTATACTGGGGCACAGCTCATTTATACTGGGGCACGTGCCCCAGTAAATGGGGTCTGGCGACGCCGATGATCCAAGGGTTTGGCAAGGCACCAAATTTGGATTTTCCACAGCATGTGTAAAACCAGAATTTATAATGTGTACACTTATCACATTAGTATTGTTTAAATTAACTATGTTACCAAGTGTTTGTTAAATGGTAAACATGAGAACAAATAATTGAAATGATGGAGCTTTAACCACCTGGGTGAAAAAATAATGGCAATTCTTCTCTATTTAAACCCCACTTGAAAACAGGCACATGCTGTTATTGAAATCCTTATAAGCTCTAATCAGTTCTGCAATGTAGCCCACAGACTCCTAATTATCACATTTCAGGGGAACAACGTGTCATATCATTCAATTTTTCATCCCCAGGGAGGAAAGTGGATTTTTTTTTCAACCCATCTTTTGTACAATGATGGTTGCAAGCAGAAATAGATTAACAAAGAATCCAAGAACACTTAATTCCTCATCAATCCCGTCCATAGAACTGGCCTCATGGTCACTCTGTGAGTCCAACCATCCTCCTGCTTATGTCCCACAGTTTCTTGGCTGCCTCTCGGTCTGTAGCTTTGGCCATCAGCTCCTCCTCCTCGCAGTTTGCGAAGCACTTCCCAGACACGCCTTTCACTTCTGGGCTGCAGGCTAGATAGAGAGGTGTCTGGGCTCCCTCCAGCGGGCTCTTTAAGAAGAACCATGAGCCGAGGTGGAACAGCGGCTTAGCCAGCAGAGGGATTTGGACGTGCCGGCCCAATCTGGTTCTCACCATGCCCGGGGTGAGGGCATTGACCGTCACCTCCGTGCCCTCCAGCTGATGAGCCAACTCCAGTGTGAACAGCAGGTTGGCCAACTTGCTCTGACTGTAGCAGGCGGCTTTGTTGTAGTTGCTTTCGCTGTTCAAGTCATCAAAGTTGATTTTGCCATACTTGTAGAGTTTGGAGGAAACAACAACGATGCGGCTAGGAGATGAAGCCTTCAGGAGATCAAGCAGCAGGTGGGTGAGGAGGAAATGGCCCAAATGATTCACTCCTAGCTGCATCTCAAAACCATCTTCTGTCTTTGAGTAAGGACACTGAAAGACCCCGGCATTGTTAACCAGCACATCAATCTTCGGTTCCTCCTGACAAAATAAAAATAGCAAGATATTTTCAAAACATTTCAGATTTCAGAATTTTATACATTTTATAATTGTATCTGCTTACACTTAAAACATCTAAAATACAACACTTCTCCTGTTAGGGATGACATTAAATCTATTGGTTATAAGAGGTAACTGTCATCCATTTAGCAGTTTAATCATAATTCACTGTATGAAAAGAAAAAAAAATGTATTTAATATATCAAATAAGCTTAGTATAGAGAAAATATGATGCTATTTATTAAGTAAGGTCAAAGAAGTAAGAAGATTTTTTTTTTTGTAGCAAACACTGCAGCATTTTAAGATTGCAAGTTAAACCACTGCTGACCTAAAAGAGAGGAAGGACTGTCAGAGGTTTGCCAAAATCTCTTTTTGACCCCCTAATCCATTGGGTCAGTATTATAAAATATAAAATTTAGATCTGGTTTAAAACTAACACACAATTCCAGACTAAGTACTTGTTTGTAAAATTGGGGTTTTGTGCAAAAGCAACCCAAGCTCTGAATGGCTTAAAAAAAAGCTTATGATTGGTCTAATCATACTTTGGACTTAAATCAATTTCAGATGCAGTAGTTAGTAAGCCCACCTTCACTACATCTACTTTGTGATAAGAGTGTCAAAACTAGTTACTAGTTGGGGCATGGGGCAGTTACTTTTTCAAAATAATCTTGTATTGGTTCAGGGACATTTATTCCCCTATAAGTAATTAAATCTGTAATTGAAAACTTCCTTAAGTTATTTTTCAGGTTACCTTTACCTGATATTGAAATGTATTTAATAAAATCTAGAAAATCTATGACGATACCATTATTTTCCCCACAGAACTGTACAGGAAATGTACCACATACATTGATACCAAACTCCAAGATTCATAAATACATTTTAGGTTAATTTTAACAGTGGTACAATACAGGTGTCAATTAAACAGTACTTTAAGAGTTTGAACCGCTATTTCACAAAGAGGTTCTCTGCATTTTTCTGACTAGTTTGAAGAAAAAAACCCACAGGATATATATATATATATATATATATATATATATATATATATATTAGTGCTGTCAAAATTATCGCGTTATTATCGCGTTAACGCGAGGCCATTTTAACGGCGATAATTTTTTTAACGTGAGATTAACGCTATGTGGTTTTATGGTACAATTTTCCAAGTACATCCCGCTGCAGCCTGCGGGAAGGCGGGGCTATTTTCCCCCAGTGTATGCATTTCTCATAGGCTTCTAGAGCGGAGCTCCTCAAGGAAAAAAGACGCTCATACACTGGGTGACGCTAGTGCCTTTTCTTTAAGCCCCAGCACCAACAAACAAGTTGAGTGTCTGGTAACTAGTAGCAACCTGAAATACGCTGAGAAAACAGATTACTGAGGTGAAATGGGATCTGCTACGGCACTCTTGCCATCTGTGTACGCAACAGGTCGGTATCGTGTGTGTGTGTGTGTGTGTGTGTGTGTTGGTGGGTGCTTGTGTGTGTGTTCTCATTTTTGTTAAGAGGCTGAAAAGTAACTTTCTAGAGCATAAACTACCTCCGTCTAGTGATGTCGGTCTATTGATTTTGATGTATTGATTGAAAATTGTTCATTATTACCTTGGTTAATTAACATCTAATGTTAACTCTACTACATTTTATAGCGGTAGGGTAAAATGCTTGTCTTTGTTCAAAAGACTGTATTAACTGTAAAGACTGTCTTTTACATCAGCATGTTTTCAGGGCCTTTTTTTTGGCTACATATTTGTTATTTTTGGCATAAATCAGTATCTGTGACCTGTTTTCATTTTAAAAAAAGAACATTGGCACAAACCTAGCCTATATGTATTTTTTTGTATGTCATCGAGAGTATTTAAATGATTTTCAATCAGGAAAAAAATGTGCGATTAAAATGCGATTAATCGCGAGTTAACTCAGGCATTGATGCGATTAATCGCGATTAAAAAAAATTTATCGATTGACAGCACTAATATATATATATTTTTTTTTTTTTTATTGTAACACCTATGCTTTAATGTTTTAAAGAATGAGTTTAGTTGCATGAATATGGCACAAAACTCAGTTCTAAACTACTGAAAAATACTATCTAATGTGAAATACATCAGAATCATCACATGGCAAGAACACTCCCCTAAAATAGCAGCTGCAGCCTGACATGACAGCAATGGAATCCAATAAAATCTCTATCACTGATTACAACAAGGACTTTCTTTTTTCTTAAGGGAGAAATTACAAAAAGAGCTGCTGCAGAAAAATCTAAAGATACCAATTGGGTTAAAACATTTTAAAATTATATTTAATTATATAATGTTTTACTTACCAAGGCAGGATAACAACATGCAAAATATGTACTTTAAACTGGCGTAAAAACAGTCGATGTTTTTACCCATGTAATAATAACCTCAAATGATTTCTCAGGAGGAAATTAGAGCATCGTTGATGTATCACTCTGATCTGTCAATGTTGATTTGTGAGGGAATTTATCGATTATAAAAGTTCAGATTGTTTTAAGTATCTTTACTTAATAATCAACATTTCCAACAATTTTCTATATACACTTTAATCAAGAATGAGCTCATTTGTTGTTTAATCTAAAGAATAAAAGTAAAAATAAGTATTTTTGCTAATAAATTAGCTGAACCTTTGGTTCAGCACCATGGACAGCCCCCCCCGTAAACAACGGAAAAAATCGCAACAATAGGTGGACTGTGCTGGAACCCAGCTGTTAAACAAACCAACATCTTTCTATCTATCTTGTCACCTTGTTAATTTCTTCACAAAATGTCCGGACAGATCGAAGGGAAGCAAGATCTAGATTCTTAATGACCACCTCCCCTTGCTCTGGCCCCGCGCGTTTCTTCAGGTCCTGAGCCGCCTCCTCGGCGCTCCTCAGGTCCCGGCAGGCCATGATGACCCGGGCGCGGAGCTTCAGCAGTTCCCCAGCCAACGCCATCCCTATCCCACAGTTAGCCCCGGTCACAATCACAGTCTTTCCACGCATAGTGTCAGTTGGATACTGAAGCAGCTTTACCACTTTCCGGCGGGGGAAGAGACGGCGCATGAGGAGCAGAACCCCGCCGCCAACAACAGCGGCTATTAACACTGCAGTTGACATATATGGACCGGCTGCAGGTGGACAAGTATGTGACCACTGAGCGCCACGGTGTGTTATGTATACAGGTTATAAAATTAACCCGGAAATGAATGTGACACGAAGCATACTAACTGTGCCAAATTGTATATTTATATATCAAAGTAATTACTGTAATTTTAACATATAATACCGTATATTTCTCAAAATATATTAATATGAGCCGATAACTAAGTAGCATATAGATTAACATTAAAATCTGATCCATTTTACTTAAATCTTCCGGGTTACAAACGGAAGTTGACTCGCTCCGTATCAGTCAGCCGGCGCAGGAACCAGATAAAAGTGATAACAAACAGCGAAGGCGGGGATTGTTCTAGAAAGTAGACTTTCTTTGCCCTTGTGTTACAAATGCTGGAGCGGTGGGGACAGTGTTGTTGTTGTTGTTGTTTTCATGGAGGCACCATTTAGAAGTATAGAAAAACAAATGATAAAATAAGTTCATCTTTTAATAAAATAAATGAACCTACAGAGAATTATTCCCACATTAACTTTTATCAGCAGCATACCGTCCAGCAAAAACACATTTATTTTAACTTTAAAAAAGAAAATCAGCCCTGATTATACTGTTACTTGTAGGATGCAGAAACGGACAGAGCTTCCGGGATGTTGAGAGAAGAATACTCTATGGCTAAAACTATATTAGTCAATATCAATTTAAATTAAAGGGATAGTTCGGTATTTTTGACATGAATCTGTATGGCATCCCCATCACCAGCTGCATGCAATCACACTGACTTACCCCTGGCAGCGTCCTGTGAGCAGAGTTATCGTCCAGTTTTGGTCAAGCCGAAAGTAGTCCGGCAGGTTTTTAGGAACAGCGAAATAAAACTTTTCTCTTCCCAAAACATTATGTGTTCAAAAGAGCGATATTTTTGCATCCCAAAAACATTGTAGTGGAAAAAGTCGCACGTCGTTATCACTTGGTCCTATTTTCTCTCTGTTCGTATCAGTGCGCGCCGTCATTCTGACAGCGAGAACCTGACAACAGCCATGTCTCCCTCCGCCCAGCTAGGCGGAGGGAGACATGGCTGTTGTTGAGCTCGCTGTCTGAATGGGGGTGCCATACAGATTCATGTCAAAAATACCGAACTATCCCTTTAAGTTACTTTAGTAATAAAAAAAAAAGAAAGAAAAAAAAGAAAGATTGTGCGGGAATTTAATTTTGGTTAGATATTGTTTTCATGTTTAAAATTATCAGAAGTACAAATACTTCGTTGCTGTACTTAACTACACTTTTCAGGCATCTATATTTTACTCCATTACTATTTTTTTTTCCTATTTCTGACTTCTTCTATTTACATTTTCACACAAGTATCTGTACTTTCTACTATACATTTTTTAAAACAAATGTTACTCTTGGCTTTGGTTTAATGTTTATAAATATTTATTTCACGTCATGTGCGCCATCCAATGCAGATCATTGGCGCCATCCACATCTTGTGAAAACTAGTGTAATTGGATGAGTCATATAACGCAAACACTCATTGGTTAGCTAAAGGAAATCATCAGAAGCAAGCAGGTGTTCTTCAAACTGCAAGCGTGAATTATCTATGCCATGCTACAATTTGGGATTCAGAAAAAGATTAAATGTCTGAAAGGTCGGACACAGGCGAGAGCGTATCAGGAGACGGAGACCAACAAGAGCTCCCTCATCCTTGCCTCTATCTCAAAGAATTTCTCAAAATAGTTGAAAATTGAGCTTTCAATTCATATAGTGGCATCTGGCGTTTTTTTTAAAGGTTACTTTATACTTTTATACTTTAATTAGTTTTTGGAGCACATACTTATTCACTTTCACTTGAGTAAAGAGGTCAAGTTGATACTTCAGCTTTTACCAGAGTGTTTTTCAACTGCAGCACTGAAAATCATAGAAAACACTGGCTGTGGTTTATATTGTGACTCAGAATTTATTTAAGGTAGAAAAAAAGCCAGGCCTTTGCTGATGTGACTGACAGAACACCAGCAATGCTTGGCATAAAGTCTCGAGACGTCGGTTAAGGAAGTTTTACTGGGTTGATTCAATAAATGATACGAAGTTCAACCTGGAGCCAGAATCCACTGTGATTTTCTAAATGAACTCAAGGAATAACATGGTCCCTGATGCAATAATATCCATAATGTGTTTTTCACACTTTTTTAATGTTGTGCTATTTTTTGTTTGTGTTTTGACAAAAGCATCTGGACAATAAAGTGCTGCTTACTCGACTATATCTGTAAAGTGTGCTTCATATTGAGAGCAAACTCCGCCCACACGACGCGCAGTTTGCTTCACCAACTTACAAATGGTGCCGAGCTATTGTACAAGTGTTTCTCGCTTTGAAAGACGAGATGAACATAATATTGTATTAATTTAAATAATTATATAAATATTTTGTAAAAAGTTTAAAATTGATTTTATTCTTTTTTTTATTTTTTCCAAAAATAATTAGCGTCCTACAGACCAAAACAATGCTTTACACAACCACTAGAGAGCGCTGAAAACTAAAGGCTGGTTAGACAGTAACCACGAAGAGGATGTTTCTAAGTCAGGTTTCGAAACATTTGGAAAAAAAAGTAAAGACTGAACAAACATTTGTTACTAAATCTTAGATTTCACAAATATAAAAGATAACTGAAGTATAGCTTTTATAGATATATAAACTATAAGTAAACGTAACAAACTAAATAAATGAATATTGAAAACTGATTTGATATTTTGATTTGAAGCCCGTACAACGTCAGAGTCAAAACCTTAGGCATGACATTGACATGGCATTTGACTTTATTACAAAGTATTTAATGTAGCCTACCTCTGTAGAAATGAATACACAGCTGGAAAACGAACACAAGTAACTGATATGTAAAAACAAATAGTGTAAAAATAAAATATATATATATATATATATATATATATATATATATATATATATATATATATATATATATATATATATATATTTTATTTACACAAAAAGTTTTCCCTTTTCCTTCATCCTTAATATGGGACGGTGAGTGATGATGTCATTCAGTTACAATCAGACAGGCAAGGCAAATTTATTTGTATAGCACAATTCAGTACAAAGACAATGCAAAGTGCTTTACATGATTAAAATATAGGAAAATAAAACAGAATCAAAGAAAGTAGGAAAAAATAATAAAGAAATAAAATAAAAAACGCAGAGGCTAAAAAAATATTAAAAACAGTTGGACTAAAGAAAATAAAAAAGTTGAACTAATGATGTTTCAGTTGAATTGTTTCACTTGAACAGTCGAAGGCAATCCTAAACAAAAGCCAGGTACCCAGATAGATCAATTTCCTCATTATTACCAGATTAGTAGGTATGGTAGATGTTTTTTTTTTTGTTTTTTTTGGTGTCTTATTTTGTTTTCTGAAGGCAAACAGGGAATAGATACCCAGATCTCAGACCACAACGGTGAATGTATGAAGTTAAATCAAAAGTACCTCTATAAACAGGGAACCAGTTAGAAAGACAAATAATCAAATTAAAACCTGAACGCCAAACGCGTGTTTTCTGTTCAAAAAAAAAAAAAAAAAAAAAAAAAAAAAAGAAGTTGCCATTTATGTTTATTTAAAAAATAATTCTGGACAGTAGTGTAAATAAACAGTCGAAAATTAAAGATAACATAAAAACAAGTGTTTACTTTAATTTCAATAAAAAAGAAAACATCAAAAGAGAAAATGTACTCGAATATTTGTTCCGCATTTATTGTCTTTTAAATTGCTGATTGAGGCAATTAAGACGTCTTATCTGTAGCTTTTTATCAGAAGCATTAAAAAAAGATTCAAAATGGAGTAAGGGAGGCGTCTGAAGTGTTTGGAAGTTACCCACAAGTTGCTTCACTTCCCCTTTCATTCGCGGAGCGTTTCCAGTTCAGTAATGCGTCCCGTTTATTTCAGGGTTTGCTGAAGTTCCTGTTAGTTGAAGGCTGAAATTCTGCGGTGAAATAGAGTAAATGCGCTGCGGCGGACTGTAGAAATCTGTTGCAAAAAAAAAAAAAAAACATGTGACTGAGACGATTTTATCCGTTTTAATCCTAGAATTTCACTTGCGTCGATTTTCTTGAGAATTTGATATAAGGAGAAGTTATGAGTCTCTTTCTGGTTTCGGTTATGCTGGCTGGGGTTATCTCCATTTGCAAAGGTAGGAAAAACTTTATTCTTTATTTATTTTACATGTTGTTGATAAAAATAATAGATAAAAGTAATAGATGTAAGCAAATCTATCTATCTATCTATCTATCTATCTATCTATCTATCTATCTATCTATCTATCTATCTATCTATCTATCTATCTATCTATCTATCTATCTATCTATCTATCTATCTATCTATCTATCTATCTATCTATCTATCTATCTATCTATCTATCTATCTTAGCTGCTCTATATTCTCATATATCTTGCAAAAGTGTTCCTTTCTACTCATACAGGTTTTGTCTTTTTACATCCTGAAGCTATAGTGGAATCTTATGTTGTAGACTTCCATAACGCAGTGCATGATTGAAGAGTAGGGAAAGCATAATTGGTGTTTAGGAAATGTTTTTAATAGAGAATAACTGTTTTGTGCTTCTATATTTAAACCCCACACCCACATACTTTTTTTGGAGCTGAAACGTTTTAGTGGTGTCTATGAAAACACTGCCTAATTCCGACATTTTATCTTATCAAAGTATCTCAGACTCAGTCAGGTTACATAGAAAACACAACTGAAAGGATTTTTTTTAATATGTTAGATTGTAGTTCTGGGTGTGTGTTCATTGTCGTGCTGAAGGGTTGGAAGTGTTCTCTCATGTTAGTATTGTCTAGATTTCTGCCCACACCCCCCTGTAATTAGCTCCATTCTTCTATCCTTCTAACATCTCTAAATAGTTTCTGTTTCCTAGCTTAAGAAAAGTTTGTCCACATTATGCTGCCATCACAGTGGGAATAGGATGGTTTGAATCAGTCTGCTGCAACCAGAACAGAACTTATTCTTCTCTGTTTTCTACTTCATGGATCATTGACATCTGGTAGGCCCCCTATGCATTTGTAGACTAGGACATTTCTTCGCTGATGCAATGGTGCGAAAAATCCCTATAAAACCCACCTGATACTGAAGTAACCTGCCACACCGGACTGTATTTATACTGTAACACATGCCAGATTTTAACATGATGGTGGGCCGTTTAAACACGACACCAATAGCAAAGCAGACCCTACTTTGAATTACTATGTTAATAACTGTATATAGTTCATAAGACGGTTGGTAAAAAATACACTCATATAATATGTTTAAAATCGCAACAAAGATCTTAAAAGAATGATGTATTTGAGTATTTTATTTTTTACACTACGACTTGGAATTATGGGTAATCCAGACCGTTGATTAAAACCATAACCGTTACATACAATATGTTAGCGACGATGGATACCAAAATGAGGTACTTAAGCGGAATCCAGAAAAGAAAAAGAAAAGAAGAGCTGCTGGAAGAACGGAAAAAACTTCCCAAAATGAAAATGTTCTTTCAAAGAACCAAAGAAGGAGAGAAGGACGTTGCTACTACAGTGAATGAAGATTGTGACCAGGAGATTAATGGAGAGAGGGTGGGTGAGGAGGGGGGCTATGAAACTCCTAACTATGTGAGTTGGTGTTTTGTTAATGCGAGTGAGAGCGTGCAGACAGTACAATAATTTGTGCATCATATGCGGATTACAACTACTGCGATTGCACAGGCACAACAAGAGAGAGCGGGGGGTGTGTATGTATGGGGGACGTTCCAGGTCGGTTGTTTGCGGCAGCTGAGGGGGTATGTTCTTGGTCGATTTATGGAACTGTCGCCATATCCTGAACCTTTATGGGGCCCACCCAGATACTGTTTCTTAAGGGCCTATTGTTGTGTCGTTGCGCCATTGTTTATGGGACTGCTGTCAGTAAGTGAACACTTATTTTTGGTTCTAATGAAACATTCTGACCTTAATTATTTTTTTTTTTAATAGATAGAATAGAATTTAATAGAATAGATTTTTTAATAGGTTGTGGATTGGATCTTATTTGCTTCTACCCTGAATGGATTTGTCAATTTCATGCAATTCCAGAGAAAAAGACCTTCTGGATATTACTGGGTAAATTCCTTAGGGGTTATGTTTCCCAGGAACCAAGCACAAAGAGCTGTCTTAAGACTGCAAATGAAAGTGAAAGACAGGCTCATATTTAAATCTGAGTTTTTGGTGCTAGATGTGGAGAAAGCCTATAAACAACAGCAGCTGTAAAGGAAATTATCAACCAAGACTCCATCAATTTTTCGAGATAAAGTGTTTATTGTTAATTTCTTCAATTATTGCAGAGAATCAATTTAACAGGGTCAGTTTTGGTGTTGATGTTGATCCAGCATTAGAAGTAGAACAAACCATCAACATATGTGTAAAGGTCTTTGCATCAATTGGATTAGTTCATATTTTTATATATTGCAGTGTTAAATATAACTGTATTTTATTGAGTTTCCGACCAATAGTTTTCAAAGCAAAGAAGGCAAAATGTGAAATGTATTATGTGAATTGAATTTCTACAGCACATGCCTTAACATAAAAATTCAAATTCAGAGCCCAGGAGTAAAACCAGCATCAGGTATGTGGTGTGGGTTAAAAATATCACTGCAGAAAATAAGCAGAAGAAATAAAAGGAAACATGAAAAAAAAACAACAACAAAAAAAAAAAAACCGGTTTCCAATAGTGATGCATACTGCATACACAGTAAGACTTCATGGGAACATCACAATGAGTAAACTTTTCCAAATGTTTTCATTTCACACAGGCCAGCAGGAGAAGAGCTGCAATGTTTTCCCTAAAGATCTGCGTGTAGAAGTGGGCTCCAGTGTTGAGTTGGTGTGTCAAACATCATGTTTAAATAATGGCAATATCTTCTGGACACTGAACAATGAGAAAATCAGTGACAGCCTGTCAAAAACTCTTAATTCAACCCATACTGTCTTATCGCTGAGAAACTTCAATCAATCACAAGCAACGGTGCAGTGCCACACTTCGTTTATGGATCAGATCTTAGGTGGTGTCACCATCAGAACATATTGTAAGATAAAATCCTCCACTTGATTAATATGGTGTGTCACCCCTGCAGTGAGATTACTACCTTTCCCTTTCTTCTCCTCCTTACAGCAAAGCCTAAAAACATAACATGCCTCTTTGATTATTATAGTAGCATAAGCTTTTTGAGGGAAATGGATGGTCTGCCAGAACGCTTCACGTGTACATGGGAGCATGAGATGAAATCTTCACAAACAATAAACTACACAGTAAAGTAAGCTTCGCATTCTCTTCATTTTAAATGTATGACTATGTTTGAAATGTTACATTATAGATTTTTCAAACATGTAATTCTTTTAGCATTAGTCCCTTGAAAGAAAAATGCAACTCACAAGTAGCAAAATGCACAATCGAAGATGGCAGAGTCTCCACCTTGTTCTTCGAGCGTGAACTAACAATTAATGTCAGTGCAAAAACCGCTGCTTGGGAGGTGGACTCGGAAAACTACACATTTATACCCGAAAACATAGGTAAGTAACATAAATAAAACTTTACAAAAATATACATCTTCATATCCTAAGTAGGTTTTTGTGCTTTATTGATGTTTCAATGATTTTTGAATGTTTCCTCAGTTAAAATCCGTCCTCCGACAGGGATAGTGACGACGCCCTCGTCAGATCATTTGTTGGTTGAATGGAATACAGTACTCGGTAATCGGATATGTGAAGTTAAATACTACAAGGTAGGACAACTGGGAAAGGAAAGCAAACATTTCAATATAGTGATATGAAAAATATAGTTAGCCTGAATTCATCAATGCCTAGATATTATAGAAGGTCTTCAGTTGATTGGAGGCCACATAAGCAAACAAAAATAAACATATTTAGGATAAGTTACACTAATAGATCATCTTTTTTTTCTTTTTTTTTCTTTTTACCTCGGAGGACATTTAAAGTACATTTATGTTTTTGAAGTTTTTTTTTTTTTTTCCTTAACAACTTTTAACACTGGGGTAATAATGTGGTGAGAACAATTGGCCAAGTTGCTGTTAGTAATATAAGGGTGTTACCAAAATATGTCGAAAAAACCCAGCAAAATGCAAAATAAATAATGCAACAATGGTTAAATAATAAACCAAATGTTCTACTTTCGATTAAAGTAACATTTGTCATAAATAATAAACTAGCATCAACGCTAATAAATGCAGCCATGCATAGATACACTAGATTCTCTAAACTTTTTTTTTCTGTTTACGTTGTACAAGAATTGTATGAAAATTTTCAGAAAACAGTAAAAGTTATAAATCTTTGTAATATTTAAAAACAACAGTTCATGTCAATGGGTCTGTCAAAAAGTATTCTATACCCTGAAAGAAGTAGCTGTTGCCAATATGAATGATAAATAAAATCTGTGATATTTGCCGCACTTTAAATAAAAATAAGACTAAAATTTTTTCTATCATCAATTTATATATATATATATATATAGAGAGAGAGATAGATAGATAGATTGATATGTTTGGTTGTGGGAAAGCAGGTGTTTTTTTCAGTAAAAGCAAAACTGCAAGTCAGTGTTCACTGTTTTAAAGTTATGGATCAAAAGTGGCAATAATCAAAGAACCAAATGTCGTGGTTTTGTAAACATTCACGGTCATCATGAGCAGGATCAAAATTGCATTTAGTCTGACATGGTGGTATGCAGCGGTGTTCTGACCACTGATGGTTTAATTCACATTCTGCATGATGTGCATCTGCAGCAGACGATCAAACACAGTTATGTTTCATACATTATTATTTTTATTATTATTATATATTTTTTATTTTTTATTTTATTTATTCACAAAACTACAGTGTCAAGCTGGCCTCCATTTGTGGAGTCCTGACAAAACAATCCTTAGACCAGGGCATAAAGATCCAAGACTGGTCTTAAGACCACCATCCCTGGTTTTGACGGGTGTAACCAAATAGAAATGCGTTATTATTTGGCTTCTACATACAGTAGGTGTCAAGTGTTTTGGTAATAAAATTTTTGTTTTAAGAGAGTTAACCCAAAGCAAATGATTCATGAAACCTTGCTAAACTGCAGATTAAATTGATAAACTGTAATTACTTTTCCCTTAGAACCAGCATATCTACTTCAAAAGCCATCTCTTTTATGTTGAACAGGGTTTTTTGTCCATATTTATCATTTATAATATAAAAATAAGTTTATGGAATTAATTTAGTTTTAATTGAAAAAATGCTTTATAAAAGTTTATGTTTTGGCTGATTTAGACCGTTTGTTGTTTGTTCCAGACTTCAGAATCTAATGCTCAAGCTTCAAAGGTAAGAAATGTTTAGTATTTTTAGTATGTCTATAAAAATTTTGCATCTATGGTTTTATGTGCAATCTTTAAGCTTTTAAAGATGATCTCAGGTTTTTGTGTTTGTTGTCAAATAAATACAGGGTTTATTAATATACATCTAATATTTGTTGCAGCTGTAGGCTCCTAAGATTGTTCTCACTGTTTTACTTTTTTTATGTTGCAGTATTTGAGCATTAAAGAATTGAAATCCAGTGCCATCATCAAAGAGATGGAGTCCTGCAATAATTATAGCATTTTAGTCCGATGTGCAAAAGAGAACGCCCCTTGGAGTGACTGGAGCCACGAAAGAACTGTCCTGACTAAACTTAACAGTAAGAGAAATATGTAGATTAAGTTAACTTCAGTAAATATCAATATCTTGTATGGTAATATCTATGGTAATGGTAAGCAAATGAAACAATTTGAGTAAGTTATTTCATACTTTTAGATCCCACATAATCCAGATTTATTCATGGTACAGATATGTAAAATAGCTTTGAAATTAATCAGTCTTTTATTGCAGTTACAGAAACGGAAAGGGAGAAATATAGAAAACTGCTTTTACTGAAGATTGAAAAAAGGAATATTGCATTAAGAAGTAGTTGCCATTAACAAAATATATGGAGCAACACTTTTGTGCACCTCTATCATTCCCTGAAATAAAATCTTACTGAAGGATTTTTTTTACTTATACTTAACTATTTCAGACTTTTATTGTGTTAAGAGTGACAAGAAAAATGTTGTTGTCCTGTTGCTAAGAAATTAAGTTCCATTACAAATACTCTATTAATCCCAAAAGCAAATTAAAGATATATTTTTCCTTAAGCTGTAGTCGCCTGTTGTTGTAGGTGTGTATTTGACCAAAGAATAATCCTGCCTAATCCACTCCTAGACCTCACTCCAACTGGGAATTTCTGTTAGTTCCTGTTAATTGCTGTTTCAAGATGCACTAGATCCAATCTAACTGAATTTGAGCTGTTTTACGAAGAAGAATGAGGGGGTAATTAAAGATGCAAACTTAAGTTCATGTGTATTCGGAAAAAATTGGGATACAAAAGCTGATCTGATTTTAAAATAGCTTCATGCATGCATTAATTTAGATTACAGCAGGAGCCAATGACTTTCCTTGAATCCAGGGCCGCAGTAAAGGAAATAAGGGAAGAAAAAATGTTGCAGAAAATGGAGAAGATTGCACTGCTTTGTGAATTCACCCGTCCGTCTTTAGGAGTGCAAAGTTGGTAGAGATACACCCACATGAACTTGTAGCTGTTGCAGTAAAGGATAATGAACAAGGTTTAATGTTTCCTTTCATTTCACAGTTATGCGTTCAACCTTTTTGGTATATATTGTGAATTATAAATAACCTTCTGCCAGGTACAGTATATTAATAACTCATGTGTTTGTCTCCCATGCCCACATTATTCTGCACTAATTTGTCACAGGTTCAGACTTGACTGCAGAAATGCGTCACTAGTGAAGCCAATCCTACAAAGCAGAAAAATTAATTTTATTGGTGCAACAAAGGGTTGGAAAGTCAACAAGTCTTCTTATATATCGACAGTTAACAGTTTTGGTCATACCCAGATAGTTGTTTTTTTTCCACAATGTGCTTGGATTAAACATTTTGAAAGAGGGATTTGCATTCCACGTTTGCATTCCACAACAGCTTCTTGGAAAGCCAACTCCTAACAGTGATCTAGGGGATGTTTACAGTCTCTTTACAGCTGTTGCTATGGCATCAAGATGGTTTTGGATTCAATTCAAGTCTCTTTCTCTTTCAACAGACTAAATCCAAAACAGAGAGTGTTTGTGTGTTTGACTGTTTGTTGCTGTGTGATCAAATTTAGATTTATTTTTTTCACCTGTTGTAGAGGCTCACATCAGGCCGCAACTCTGGAGGAAGGTGGTTGAACAGGGTAAACATGGAGAAAGAAAAGTTCATCTCATGTGGAAGGTAAAGAAAAAGTACAAATTCTATTGTCCAATTTCAAGAATTCAAGCCATAACTCCTGGATTGCTAATTAACTACATGCTTCCCTCTAACTCAGGCTATTCCCCCAACATGCAAAGAGGTGTTGAACTACACAATCAAAATGATTTCCTACAACAACACGACAACCACTGGAAATTACACACAGACCACGTGTGGCAGCTCCTCTTGTGATGTTGATGTTGACAAACTCGAACACAGATTATATCTCACAATTTCCAGTAATGATGTAGTGCTTTCCGAGAGCTCGGTGTATGTCCCAGCTGTTGGAGAGAGTGAGTTTTACTGTTACATTTGAAATTTTAAATGAGTAACAACAATGTTTGTACCATTTCCTTAATCATTTGTCAATTCACTCTTTACCTCATCAGTGGGCCTTTCGCAAGTTGGCAATATCCAAGCAAAAAGCCGAGATGGTGTTATTCAGGTCAGCTGGGACAAGTCAGAGAATCCAGCCAGTAGTTACATGATAGACTGGACCTACGATGGAGTTCAGTACTTCTGGAAGGAGAGCGCATATACAAATGCAACTCTGTTTGGTAGGTTAGAGTGCATGTGTTAAATGGAGAATGGACAAGTCATTAATCACATTAGTTATGATTTATTGATGGAATAAAGAGAGTAATGGACTCATTAGTGGAATTTCATGTTAAAAGCTGATCTATAATGCATTTCCTTTGAAGATTAGACTACTTCGAGGGTTTTTCTAACAATTATGTTATGTCTTATGTTACCCACTGTACAACACATATTGATGTTCTTACAAGAAAATCTTGTATCAATATGGCTGATGTCATAAAGCTGTTGTTTTCATATTATTTCTGCTTTGGGTTTGACCTCTGGTTTTATCTCACTTAATTTTAGTTTTCTCTGCTTCAGCGGGGTGAGCAGGATTGAAATGTCACATAGAATAGCTTAAACTTGTTGCATCTGTTATTTGTCACTTAAGTGTTAATGTTTTTTTTCTTATTTTTGTAGACCTGCTACCTTCAAAGCCATACAATATCACAGTTACGCCTCTCTTTAATGACAGCACAGGCCGAGGCATGCAAGCCAATTTGATCTGCTCCAGTGTGAGAGGTAAACACTGATTTATTTATTTTTTTAATAATATACAAGATTATAGTCGTAATCTGTTCCACTGAGAAGTTTAGAAAGATCAGTTAAGTCAAAGTTTAAAATCTCTTTTGGTTGACCTCAGGTGAAGTTACAGAAATTAGAGATCACATCTCTTCATGAGCAAGTTGGACAACATACTGCTGCCAGTGAAACAAACACTCTGTCAAGACTCAGAACAGAGGTCCCAGTATTCAGGGCAAGACAGACAGACATTAGAAAAGCGTTAAGTATTAAAACAAACTGAACTTTAGTAGCTACAGTAGGGTGTCTATCATAAAAAACTTTGTAAAAGAAAACACAGGTTAGTGACAGTGACAGGTAAGTGATAATCTGACGGAGGATGATATGAATGCGTTAGTCACTAACCTAGTTTCAGTTGTCCCAGAGGCTGCAGCCCCAGAAATTAGAGAACAATCAGGATTCCGAGGCCAGGTCAGAGAAAACGTTCAGATGGAAACAGGCAGGCTTATACCCCATTTACACTACCCTTAAAAAACCGTGCTGAGACCGTTCCAAGCTCAGTAACTGAGATAACTTATTGTGTGTAAATGGAAAGCAAACTGAACTGAACCGAGCTAGACACAACCGAACCAAGATAACTGCAGACCAGTTCCAGAGGTGGGCTCGGCTCGGTTTTTCCCTGGCTCGGTTCTCTGATTTAAGAGCGCATGAGCAGAACGCGTCATCTCCGTCTGGCTGCACATCTCGATTCACACTCCATTCCAGTACTTGGCGGTGATGCCCCTCCAGGAACAGAAGAAGAAGAACAACTTCTTTTTCAACTATAAACTATCAAAATCTTCTCCACGCAACATTTTAAATAATGGCATTTTAAACAATAACACCGAAGTACAGCAATAATAATCAAGGGGCGTTTCTCAATATGCGTTCTTGAGCGTTCTCGTGTGCTCGTGTACTCGTGACACGTCATCAGCCTCAGCCCGAGTACCGTTCCAATTCTCAAGAATGCCAGATCGAGAACGCATCAAATCCCCGGATGTTGTTCTCACCCCGCCCTCTTTATCGAGCATGCATCAGAGCAGACTTGTGCGTTCTTCAGACTGACCGCTTCCCCAGAATGCCCCGCGGCCGCAGCTTGATTCCAGAAAGCGTTCACAGTGTTAAGTTAAACATTCCCTTTTCTGCTGCGGTTGTTCTTCAAAAGTACGTTTTGAAATCGTTTTAGGCGATAACATTATACATTTAAGCCTCCCTGTGTGGTCTGTTTACAGAGTTAGTGCGAAATAAAAAAAAAAAGTCAGACGTTGAGCGGACCAGAGTGACCAGCAGACCTCCGAGGATAACCGCAGCCAGGGCTAAATTTACCCCATCTGTAGTGCACTTCTCTCGGTCTAGTTATGTGTGAACTACCGCTCGTTCTGATGGCGTTTTTTTTGCGGTTCGGTAATTTTTTTTAATGTTTTTTAAGCTTTAGAAATTAAAAATATTGTTTTCAAAATGTTTTGTGTAGGGAATAAATAGTTTTGACTGTTAAAGAAATGCTAAACAACGTTGCCTGTGATGACGTCACGAGTAGAGATGTCCCGATCCAGGTTTTCGCACTTCCGATCCGATACCGATATTGTTTTTGGACTTCCGATCCGATACCGATACTGGCCGATACCAGCCTATCCGAGCATGTATTTAAGTTTAAGTTAAAGTATTTAGCCTTAGTTGTAAGACTCATGTTGAAAAGGGTTTTAGTACTCTTGATAACATCTAGCCAGCTAAATTAGGTGAGATTGAATAAAACACAATGCTTGGTAACAACAAACTTTCCTGTTTATTAAGAGATAAACACAAACTGGACAAAATTATGAATAGCAATCTGAAATTGCACAGTGAACAGTAAAACCGTAAACAGTTAAAGGTGCAAGTATTACTGTAAGTTTTAATAAAAATGCAAAACAGGGAAACACTGGCGCAAAATAGTGGAATGGATCGTTTCAATCGGCAAAACTGGAAAATACGGACCAGATTTTTTTTTTAAAACTTGATCGGCAGTCTGGATCGGCATTTTACATGCTTTGCCGATACGCATTTTTTTGCCAATATCGGTGTCCCGATCCGATACGTGGATTGGATCGGGACAAGCCTAGTCACGAGTACGCTTCTGCTCCAATACACATACGTGCTTGCGTGCTCGCGTTCTCGTCAAGTCCGATCTTCCTGCGTTCTCGCCAAGAACGGACTTGACGAGAACGCGAGTACATACTCGTGTTCTCGTGAATTGAGAAACGCCCAAGCATAACTTTCTGAATGTGACGGGCACTGCCATTTTGATTTGCTTGATATCCTCCTTCTTCGTCTTCTTCTTTTTGTGTTTAATGGCGGTTGGCAAACAAGTTTTGGTGTATTACCGCCACCAACTGCTTGATTTCCTCCTTTAATACTGGCAATAATACCGCAGATCGCCACTAGGAGGCGAGGACCGGTCTCAGCATGGATCGGGTTTTCAATGGTAGTGTAAATGGGGTATTAGGGGTTTAGAGGCAGAATAGGTCAGGAGCAGGAAATTGGAAACACTAAGGTTTGCTAATGATCCTCTCACCTCTGGCTCGAGTGAAAGAGATCATCAGACCCTGATAACTGGATGCAAGTGCCTTAAATAGAGGCAGGAGCAGGTGGATCAGATGAGCAGTGATGAGAAACCGGGCAGAGTTAGACAGGTGAATGAAAAGAGTACGCAAGCCATCAGCGCCAAGATCATGACACACTCGGCATGATGCAGCCACCATCTTGTTAGAAAATGAGTGCACTTCACTTAGGTTTGAAAGTCTTACATTAGCATGACTCCACCCAACAAATTTTCTAGATAGATAGCTCTATCTTTGACTCAGTTGAACCTAAACATACAGATTGCATTTAGCTTTTCATTGTGGGCAATCTAAAGCGTACCTTTAAATGAAAAAAGGAAAAAACAACAGTCTAGAACAATTGCCAAAGAAGTTGTTGAGTTTGAGCATTGATACCTTGCATCTTCTCAGCTTGTGCAAAGGAAAGTTTTTCGTAACATTAAAGGCCGGAAAAGTTAGGTGCACCCATTGTGCATGTAAACTTCTCAACAAAAATGTTTGTCACCATTCCAGTTGTGTAATAAAAATGACTCCTACAGTTCCAGAGATCATTGCTGTTGAAGTTGTGGACACTCTAGATAAAAGTGCATATGTAAAGTGGAGCACAAAGTCACAGGATCCATGCAGCCATGTCGATACCTACGTGGTCTTTTGTGAATCACAGGGACGACCCTATCTCAGTAAGTTCACCTCATCAATGCTTAAGGTTTGCACAGTTTTTTCATACTAAGGTTACAACAATAACATAATGGCTTTCCTGTAGATGTCACGTTGGATGGCAGTGCAGTTGAAGTCTGGTTGAAGGACCTAAAACCAAACACCCAGTACGCTGTCTTTGTTGAAGCCATGGGCTATAATGGGACAACAATGAGCAAAAGTAATATTTTTACAACAAATATATTTGGTGAGTATAATCTCAGAGGCTGTTCAAGAGAAATAATACTAAGCCTTAAGGTAATACAACTATTTCTTTTGGAAAGATTAAAAAGTTGAAGTGTTTAACGGGGGCCATTTTTTGTTAAAGAACCTTTTCAAAGAGTTGCAGAAAAATTTTTTTGGCCAAGTCAGAAGACAGAGCTGTAACATCAACACCCTCTGCTTGTTAATCCATAATATGGTGATAAAAAAGTGGATCTGAATGACTCGGTCTGTACTTTTAGAGTTGAAAATGGTTTGAAAAGGGCATGAATAGATTAAGATATAACACCTAAAGTTGTGTATTATTTAGGTGATAAGATGACACTGTGTGCTGCCTGTGGCTCCTTCCTGAAAGCCTTGAAGGGAAATGTGCATACCAGCAATTTGACAGAGATTGACAAGACATTAATCACACAGTAGTAATAGTTCACCTTCATCCTTCCTTTCTTTGCATGTCATGGCAGATACGATGGGTACAGATGATGCTACACTTGAAAGATAGTCTTGCAGTTCATTTTTATTTTCTCTTTTGGCTTTTATTTTAACATGTTTTCCACTAAACAAAATACAGTTTTAATTTCCTCTGTTTGCTCATATTATTGTCTCTCCATCCATTGCGATTAATCAGCAGAAACCATTCCTGAAATATTTTGTTCTTTATAATGTATTCCTTTCCAATAGCTCACTGCCTTTTGACATTTAAGGAAAAGTTGGCCTAAGGCTTTAATTAACGTAAATGTATATGAATAAATTTATTCAGTTTCGCATTTTCAATCATAAAATTACTGGTATTAAGTATTTTGAGCAAAACCTAAGAATTATAACAGAACATTGTTAAAGATAGAATACAGTGGTGCATTTAAATAGTAGTAAAACAGTTGTTTGGAGAAGGATCCACTTTTTCATTAATGATCTGGATTTCTTTCTTTAAAAGTTTAACTGTTTTTCCTCTTAGTGTTAGATGCTGTGTTGTTCTTCCTGTTGTTGGTTTGGTTTAATAAACACCCAGCTTGGGTAACCGCATGTTCAAGTGATTTCCTAGAAGGAACACTAGAGGAAGAAAAACATGCCATCTAACACAGAAGAGAAAACAGAGTGGCAAAAACATTGCAATTCCATACGTGTCAAGAGTTTCTCAAGGATTTTCTCTAAACACAACATACCAGGGAATTTCAAACCCAACAACGCACTCAGACAAAAATATCCCAAAGAGAACAGAAGAACCAAACCAAAGCTGAGTGGAGTTTTTTTATGTGATCCAGTGGGGCAAGGACAGCTCAGGTTCCGGCATAAGAGAAACCAAAGTAAAACTACGGACGTATGGTACAGCCCAGAAGAGCCAGGAGCTCTGGCAAAGATTCAGCCGTACACTGGCATCTGGAATAAAACGGAAACGCCTTTTACTACCAAAATATTCAGATTTTGGACGGATTGGAGAAACAAAACTATATTGTTAAAAAAGAAAAGCATCACTAAAACAAGGGGAAGGATTGTGATTTCCCGGCGTCTCATCATCTAATATGACTTCTAGACAAAGTATTGAAATGTTTCAAAATAAAACTGAAAGCATGTCTGATTGCCTCTGATTCAAGCCTGTTTTGTAATTTCTTGTAAATGTTTTTCCCCCTGATATAACACATGCCTGTTATTGTTTACAGATTCCAAGATTGTTACAGCTTTTACTGTCTACGGAGGTATTTGTTTCTTTCTTGTACTGTGTCTTGGGCTAACCTGTGCCATTCAGTAAGTTTCGTTCTTTAATGTTTCTGATAATTTATTGTAACTCACAAAAATCAATTTTGTATAATCAGTAAAAAGTGTTCCTTTAAAATAGCCTGTGTTTATATAGTGCTTTTTTTTTTTTTTTTTTTACTCAGAGGACTTGACCAAAGTGGTTTACATTACATTCAGTCATTCACCCATTCATACATTCACACACTAATGGTGGCAAGCTACATTGTAGCCACAGCTGCCCTGGGGCTCACTGACAGAGGCGAGGCTACCGTAGACTGGCACGACTGGTCCCTCCTCCCATCAGTAGGCAATGCAGATGTCTTGCCCAAGGACACAACAACAGTGAAAAGCAGAGCTTGAACCGACAACCTTCCGGTTGCAGGGCAAACTCCTGCATCCAACACCACTGTCACCCTTAGCCACTCCGACACAAGCTAGAACTCTTTTTGCAGATTTTCTTGCTCGATATCAAACCCTAAATTTACGACCCCAATTCAGTTATGACATTAATGGGCTGGAGCACTGAGTGACTGAAATTAAAGGTCTTAAAGGACAATCAACCATGTTCCTTTTATAAAGAGTCATTACAAAAAATTAATGATTGTTCATTTTATTTTTAGATGGAAGAAATTTAAGGAGATGCCTGTGCCAAATCCTCGTCTCAGTTCTGTGGGGAAATGGGTATCACATGGTCATCAAAAGGTAAGGTCAATATAAATTTTGTCACAGCCCCATAGCAGATGTACAAATTAATATGTATGAATTCATAAAACATTACTGGTATCCTTTGTTGACAGCAAATGTTTTGTATGATTTAGTTAGTGTTTATGGTTACATGATAATCAAGCTGTAAAGATTCTAAAGGATTTTTCCGAATGAGATCTTGTCCATCAACCCACACTAACATGGTTGATTGTTTATTTTTCTTTATTTTCAGTCACTCAGTGCTCCAGCCCATAAATGTCATCACTGAAATTTGGTTGTAAATTAAGGGTTTGATATTGAGCCTAAAAAGGTCTTCCTAACAAATTCCAGTTTGCGTCAGAGGGGCCAAGGTTTCTCACAAAAACAGATGGGTGCTTGTATTACCCAGCCTTTCCACACTCAACCTTATTATTATGTACGCATAGATCTTAAACCTGTCTTTAAACCTCAAACTGACATGTTTGTGAAAACATTTTCACATGCTGCAGGTCCTAAAAGGAAAAATTTAACTTCAAAGGAGTTGATTTATAAAGACGTACCGTGACTGAGCTCGTTCATGAGTCAGTTTGTACCATAAACTGCACCTTTGTGTTGAGATTGATTAGAATCTAGAAGAAAAAAAAGCAACATGTCTGAAAGCACAGGAAAATGTCTGTTGTCTTTAAAAGAAGGAAACACAAACATGGCTATATTTGTACTAATACTTAAAGTTAAATATTTAATTATATATTTTGCTAATAGACAGAAGTGTTGGACTAGTGGTTAGATTAGTGCACTTGTGCTCTAATAAGGTCCAAATGGTGGAAATTATTGCCAAATGATTGATTTTTCTCCTCAGTAGGTATTATTTAATCTTAATATGAAATTATCTGCGGTATCTTATAATTACGAACTCTATGAACTAGTCAGGATATTTTGCAAGAAACCCTGGATTTCTGGAGGTTTTCTAGTTTTATTGACTGAAAAAACAAAAAGAAAATTGATTGCAAAAAAAAAAAAAAGAAAATTGGACATTTCCAGGATAAATTCAATCAGGGTAAATATGAATGTTTTGCATGTTAAGTGCATCATTAGAGGCTTCATATTGGTCAAATTTAGTGTCGGATAAGACCTGATGTTGTTTTTCCCTGTGCTTTAATGTCTACTTCAGACGGAGGGGTTCTTCCGGCCAGTCACAGATCAAATTGAAAACCAAGTCATCATGGATAAAACTCAGAGAGAGGCTGGGAAAGCTTTTACTCCAGATTGTATTGGTGAAAAACCCTGGAATGGCAAACCAATGATCTGCAACTCATCGACTAATTCTATGCCAGAAAGTGAACATGCTGAGTGGTTCTACGAAAACTCAGAAACTCAGCTCCTACCTTCCCCTGAAGCATCAACGGTATGTTCTTTCTCACAGAGCAGCCCATATCGTAGTCAGGACTCTGTGGAACCTTTGTTAGGTGCTGAAAAACCATCTAAGAGTGACATGGGCAAAAATCAAGAAAAGACAACATCAAAGCAATTATATGTCAGCTTGAACATGTTTGAACAAAGTGATGTTAGGTGAGTGCTTTGGAAACAGAAGAAAAATTAGAGTCAAGATGAGTCATTCAGCACAGATACCTTGGGTGACAGGAAAGATTGTTCATGTACCGTATTTCCTATAGTACAACTGAAAACTGTTTGCTCTGTTGATGAAAATTAAGTTCTCAGAACATGGTTCTTTAGCTGCATAGGTGTTGGTATCACCACTATCACTCACTGTTACAATATGTATCATACACTGTATTTTAAACAGCAAAGAGTATGTTAATAAGATTGTATTTTTAGAATATAGTGTGTCTTAAAAATGCATATACCTCTTTAAAAATGCCAGCTTTTGTAATATTAAAACAATTCAAGGAAATAATAAAAACAGAACAAAAAAGCTGCCATAATCTGTTTGCATGCATTAGCACCCAAACATAAATACCTCGTTTGATTTAATTCCAAGTATTTTATCTATTTTATTAAAAGTCCTTCAATATTTCACATCTATTTAAGAATATTTAGATCTAAGAATATTTAGATCTATGAGATTGGGAGAACTTCTCATTCACTGCCCTCTAGTGGTAGCTTCACAGATTTCCCCCCATAAACCTTCAAGAAATTCCTATTCAGTTGTTACAGTGTTGCTTCAGTGTTGCTAGCATCTTATTTGCAGCTCTTGCCATCTTATCTTTTTTGGATAAATGTCCTTGTTTTGTAATGCCTATGTTTTCTCGTATGATTGTTAACTATTATTACTTTATGTACTGAAATGTTTTTGTACCCTTGTTGTGGTTTATACCTGTCGAGATTTGGATTCTTTTGAGCACTAAAATGAATGATAAAGCAAATGCAGGAAAATGGAACTTTATGTGAGGTTAATCAGATTAACTGTGAATAATGTCAGATATGAACTCCAGAGAAGAATGCTGACATTAAATCCAGAGGTAGTAAAATAACATATTAGCTTAAGATGACTCATCTGCATAACCAGGTTATTGCAAAATGCTGAAGAGATTTTTTTTTTTACAAAAAGATCAGGGAGTATTGAATGTCTTGTTAAAGTCATTTTTTTACAGGAATCCTGAGTTTTGCAGCTTTGTACACTTTGTGCTGTTTCTTTATTGTTATCATTGTTTGTTTTTTTGCAGAAGAATAAGCCAGTACAATTAAATGTATTTTGTAACAAAGAAATGTGTAGGAAAAGAGCTTTCAAATGTAAAAGTGGTTTTGATCTGTATGTAATACATACATGTTGTCTAATGTAACAAAATATAATACACATTAATGTGACATTGAAATAAATACATTTCATTTTTCATATTTTTGCTGCCATTGTATGTATTTTTTCCAACAAAGATCCTTCACATTTTAAAAAGCAAATTTGTTCCGGTAGATATTTTAACAATATATTTATTTTCCAATTTTGTTCTGTCAGTAACATTATGACTAATACATCGAGCGGAATTGCAATGATAATTTCCTGAGGTCTATTTCAAAATAACCCACATGCAATACTGATGACTGAATTTCTTAAACTTCAGAACAAACACAATGAGATTGCAATTATCTTTCTCACTGTGTGCTTATTTGTTTATTGTGTTTTGAACGAGTATTTATTTTTCAGATTTTAATTAAATGAATTCTTTTCTGTCCTTTTGGAAGATTGCAATTTTATTTACACTTCTCTGGTTACAACTTGAGTATATGAAAAAAAAAGAAAAAAAAAAGACCCTCTATCCATTTAAGTATTCTTAGTGAATTCCATTGTTTTTTCATTGCAGCTATCAGGAACTCTGATCATACTTTGGCTCCTAACTGACCCTTTTTCTGTACTTCCAAAGAACCTGTTTTTTTTTTTTTTTTTACTTTTATAACATTTCTACAATTCCAAGCATATTGTGAGCACAAACTAAATAAGAAAGTAATAAAACATTTATTGAAGTAGATAATTAAATACCAATAATCCATGCACTATGAAATAATTAAAAACATCAATGGCATCTGATTTGGCTGAGTGGGTAAGCTGCACATCCAGTCCACTTCATGATACTCCTCTTGACTGTGGGACGCTTTTCACAGATATTATGATGAGGCTGATTATAAAGCCTTTTGTGTTCAGCCCCTTCCCACTGGGATGAGTTTCCCATCCAATTGCAGGGCAATCTCATTATTTTTATATTTAGAATATTCAATAATTTCTTTGTCAATGTGTATATAGTTGTACCCAGATGCACCACAGAGCGCCACGGGAAATCATTCCTGCCTGTGGTCATCAATCTCTCCAACGCCTCCCACAAGTGATTCAGACACCCCCCCATTTATTTATTCCTTGCACTGTTTTTGCACGTCACTATCACTTTATTTGGATTTAGTTATACATATGCATATATATATATATATATATATATATATATATATATATATATATATATATATATATATATATATATATATATATATATATATGGGATTATTAAAGTATGTCTGATTCTGATTCTGATGGAAGTTTTTTTGTTTGACAGCCTCAAGGCACATAGACATAAATAGATAAGTCTAAACGTAAAGCACAATTGAACAAAGTAATACATGAGTTGACAGAGAATTTTCACAAAACAACAAAAAAAAAGTTTAGCATCTTGTAATTTTAAAACCTATCCATAGGTGGCAGCATAACAAGCTAATAGTCTTGTACTACAGATATTTGTTAGAAGAAGGAGGTTGGCTCTGTGATGTAGCACAAGCTAACCCAGCAGTAAAGTAATGCTTGTCTATTTCTAACCATGTGGATTTAAAAAGAAAGAAAACAACTTAGGGAGAGGGGAATATTTTTCGGGTGGTGCACTAGGCTGCATCTTCACAGCTCATGCTCTGTTTAAATCCGTTCCCGCCCCGTCACAATGCTGCCCGGGTTTAAACTTGTTGGATGATCCTGAATTAGCAGCGACAGGGCCTTGAAGCCTCGGTGCTCGAGTAGAGTGTTAATCCGGGATTTTAGGTTTATGACCGGCGGATATTAATACAAGGCTTTACTTATTTTAAACAATCATTTCCTGACATGTCGCACACTGGACCCCCTCCTCGATGGCGTAACTGTCCCAGGAGAGGGCAGCCGGTGGCAGGTAAGCAGTAACTTATTTATAACATTCATTGTATATGTTTTTGTTTTTTTGCCCTGTGTAAAGTGAATTCAAAATGTTCTATATCACTAGAACAGTACTTGAGTTGCTGTTTACTGTAATATTAAGAAAGTAAATTGATCTATTATTCAAAACCTACCTGTATTAATGTGTTGTTTTTGTTAAACAGCTTACATGTGAGTAAGCAGTTCTATCCAAGTGAGATAGTGTTATGCTCAGTAAATGAAGCAGGGATATGTGTGACTTATTTCGCCGAGTTAAATCAATTGCTGCCATTATTGCAGAAACCAGATATTTTTTTAATTTGCATTTTTCTTTTGTTGTTTTTTTTACCAATAGAATTAGCCTGATTGTTTTTTGAATGAAGTCTGGCGTGACGCTTAACTCGGCTTAATTTTAGGGGTTACGTCTTAAAAAAAAAAAAGCCAAGGACACGCATTCTATGGTGCTTTTTAACAAATAAGCATCCATTGGCCGCATTTTCAGCTGTAAACAAGCTGCTATGAAATATTTTGTTTCCAAGCTTCCTAATATCACGTGTCCAAACATACCGAGGCGATGCACGTTGCACAGAGTGGTTCATGTGTCCATTATTACCGCACAAAATCTGATCCTTACAATACAAAGGTGCACAGAAATGCATTTCCCTGAAACTTTTCTAAACACAACCTAGTTTAAAATTTTAGTCGGGAAATCCTAGGAATTGTATTCCTCAATGTCTTTATGTAACTCCAAAAGATAGGGAGAATAGCCTGGTTTAGAAAATAGAAATGGAAACTTAGACATTGAACTTTGTTGATCTCACAATGGAAAAAAGAACATTGCATTTAACCCATTTCATTGGGGAGCAGTGGGCTGCCATTGTGCAGCACCCAGGGAGCAGTGTGGGGTTTAGAGTCTTGCTCAGAGACCCAGAGTGGCAGCCTGTGGGGATCAAACTGGATACTTCCAACCTTCTCACAGTACAAGCGCACTGCTCTAACCACTGGGCCAACACTCATTCACTTATGGGGTGATATGTAGGAGATTGCAATACATCTAGATCAAGGATCAGTGACTAAATATGACAACATGGGAAAGATTACAGCTTTTTTTTTTTCTTTTTCTTTTTTTGGTTGAACATCCATGCTTCCATCCAGCCTCAACAATCTTCCTAAACCATCCCGGTTTAAAGTGAAGTAATCAACCTAACATTTAGGATTTTGAGAGGAAGCCATGTGTACCTCTAAATAAATCCATATATGAACAGGAGTTGTCCAGTCCCTATACCAAACAACCACTGCCACATTCATTTTTGATTCAGTTAATTTAGATATCCCTAATTCACAAAACATGTATTGTCAAAGCAGTTCTTCAAAGCATCCAGATTGACATTACTTACAGCAGACATTCATATAAATACTTTTTTATTCTTTTTAATGAAGAACAAAAATGTAATTCCTCAAGTGGGAAATATGCAGGTTGCTTAATGTACTGATTTTTGAAAAAAAAATTAGATTTTTGTAATTATGTATTGCCTATTTAATAATAGGCATTTTAAATATGAATTTAGTCCAAAACAGAATATTTTGTATATAATAATTTCCAAACACCTATATGAAAAATATGTCAAGTTATTGATTAAGGCTTAAAACTATTAAAGTGCAAGTTAGTACATATAGGCGCTATGGTTTATGAAAATTAACAAGAAGTTATATCTTTATTATGTCTTGTTGCATTTGAGTATGTGTCAAAAAGACTTCCCTATAAGTGTACAAAGTATCCATCTTTTTGATTGTAAGCAAAAAAACAAAACAAAAATACAAAACCAAGTTTCAATTAGGGATGCACGATATAATCGGACCCCTATCGGTATCGGCCTGTATCGGCCTTAAAACTGAATATCGGACATCGGCCACCCCTCCGATATTTAACCCGATATTTGATCAGCTTCTGAGTTTCTAAGTCTAAAAAAAAAAAAAAAAAAAAATACTACTTCTTCTTCTTCCTCAAAAGCTTCTTTTTTACAGACTTAAAAACGTCTAAAGACGAGGGAAAAAATATTGATACATTAAAATATCACAATATCTTCATATGCTGATATATTGCCATTTAAAAACACCATATCAATCTCTTTTACTAATGAAATATTGCTATATGTCATCGTTATGCTAAGAAATCACCCGAAAATTCACGAAATGTTGCCATATTTTTATATGTTGATATATTGACGCAGTATCGATCTATTTTACTAACAAAATCTCACAAGAATTTGCAAAATATCACAAGAGTTTGTAACAGAACGATGAAATTTCACGAGATTTTGAAAGTAAAATAGATCGATACCGCGTTTTTAAAAATCAATTTGATTTCTGCATATGACAATATATTTGAGTATATTATTTTTCAAAGTGTCAGAAATGGATAACAAAACTGCTATTTTCAATGACTACTTATTTTTGTCCAGCTTTAACATCAGTATCGATATCGGTTATTGGCTACATGAGTTTTAAAATATCAGATATCTGCCAAAATCCCAATATCGTGCATCCCTAGTTTCAATGCCACAAGTCGCATTAAAGGTAACTGAGCTTTGACGAAAAAGAAGAATAAAGTGAATACTGTGTTTTAAGATAAAAAAAACAAACTAGTGAGTAAAACAATTCAAGTTAACTTCTGGATTAAAAATATTTGCAAAAAAACTAAGATTCAAGTCTTCTTGTGAAGAATGTGAAAGAAAATAGTTTAGCAGAACATGTAATATCAAATATAATTGGGGTTTGTTTCCATCAGTATTATAAGACATTGTAATGATTTTCTCATCTCTAAACTGAAGCTGGACAGATTTAGCATATGTTAATGACTTTTTAAATGACTCCTTTCTCTAGGTAAATTCCTGCCTA